TTCGATGTAACGATAATTTTCAAAATTTGCTATAAAATTAATTTCTTGAAGGATCCTTGTGGAAATATCACCAATTATTAATTAAGGTATCCTCTTTTTAATGCAAGAATCCGTTTTGAAAAATCACTTTCAGTTCTTGAGAAAAAAATTTTTGAAATGATCCACAATTTTTTGAATTTTCTATTTTCGCCGATTAAGCTTTAAAAATGCGTATAAAATTCAGTTCTTGGAATATGAGTATGAAAATTTTCCAAAGTGTTAATAAAAGTGTCCTCTTTCCAATGAACCAGCCCGTTTTGAAAAATAACTTTTAGTTTTTAAGAAAACAATATTTGAAGTTTTGATAACATTTTCGATGTTGCAATTTTCTGCTGACAGTACTTTTTATATTTCAGGTATTCAGGACTAGACACTGCTAATGAAAGCTAGTTTTTAAGCTGCTTGCAGACGTCGATATTAGTTATCTAGTCTAATAGACAGTATCTAGTCTTCTACCAGCAGTATTTAGTCTACCATTGCTAGTATTCCGTTTTTATTGCCATCTATTTACCTATTAAGCATTTTCATTTTTTAAGTTGGGGAGTCGATTTGGATTCTATAAGCAATAACATTTACTTTTAAATATATGTTGTATTAAACGTATGATATTAATAGTATGATTCAAAAAATATATTGTCTGTTATCGAGATTTTACTATACTTTTTTTCTTTATTACACGGGAACAATTTATTCATGCATATGTTGGGCGCTTATCTTCGCAAATGTAACCGGAGTATTAATCGCGTCATAAAACGGATTTTCGTAGCTTATCGGTCGGACCATGTAAGCCCTTTTCTAAAATTTATAGGATATTACTAAAAGGAGCATCGACGACAATTTTGCGTCGCCCCCGTTTCCGTTAGGTAAAGGATACAACTATTCAGCTGTAAAGCGACGTACTCCAGGACGAAACCGAATCTATTGTTTAACTGAAAACCCCACAAAGCTTTCTAGAGAAATGTGAAATGGGACGTACTTAAACCAGACTCCCCGCAACTATGACAACCATAAGTCTGCGACTGTTTAATGTTAACAGTTAAGAGATAGTTTAGCCCCGCATTCAAATTTCAAACGATACGTTAAATTTGTAATTGGAGAGTATCAACTTAACGATTTTTTTCATCGTCGCCCGGGTTGGTTCCTTTTGTAATTCCACTTTTGATATGCGGGCAGACGAGAACGTTTGCTGCGCATTTACTCTGGCTGTGCAAAGGGATGCACTTAGAGATGAAACTGGGCTATTGTTTTACATAAAGTGCCTTTGGATTGCGAGAAACGGGAAATGTCGAAATGACTCTCGAATGTAGATTCCAACTATCAAAATCAACATACACACAAAGTGATTTTGAAATAGATGTCTCAAACAAAGAAAAATGGTTTGATAATGATTTCTTAATAATTTTATATTCCGCCGTGGTTGTCGACACTGTTGGCCCGATTTTGGAATTGATGGCGTCCGAGTGGGTCAGACCGCATTGCGGAATAGCTTCCTCTTCCGTTGCCGGGGGCGCAGCTGGCTCACGCCCCCTACGAGGAAGCGACTCGAACTTAATTTTTCGTGCCCAATTAAAATTCGGAAAACTCACGACGTGCACGATTTAATTATCGGAAATCCCAGACTACGGGATTAATTAGAAGCAAAGAGTCGTCGATTTGTTACGCATCGTTCTTTCAACAAATTAGTTTAAAATAAAACCATATTACCTGCTATTAGTGATGGCCGGATATCCGGTTATCCGGCATATCCATCCGGCCATTATGGTTATAATTTCTAATGCATTTCTGAAGTGATACCCTAAATTGCCACATTATTGCGATATTGGAATAAAAATGAAATTAATAAGAAAGCTGATAAGATATATTCAATCTATCAAAACTAGCTATATTTTATTAGAGCAACGGGATTTCGGAAAGGTTTCACAGGACCCTTCATTGCCATCACCGCGAAAGGATGCAGCTATAGGTGGAACAACAACCTTCCTATAATTTTACTGGGTTTAAGATCCTGTTTAAACGAAGATCTCGGTTATTCCCCCGCTGAATTAGTCTATGAGCAGCCATTACGCCTACCAGGAGAATTCTTCATAACCTCTCAACATAATATAGGGATAACACCCTTACTAACAAGTTTGAGAGAATCTTTTCTTAATTTTAAACCTATTCAAACAAAATTTCAATCAACAAATTTCTCATTCACAAAGATTTGCCGACATCTGAATTCGTTTTTTTAAAATTACAAAACTTCAAATCTTTATCTCCTAGATTTGAAGGACCTTACAGAGTATTAAAACGTTTTAAGAAAAATTATGTCATTAATAAAAATAACAAAGAATTGATAGTCAATATAGACCGCCTTATACCGGCATTTTTGACTAACAATTCTTACTCTGCAATTAACAATTATTCGTCAATTTTTAATAATTTTTTATCAACAATTAATAATTCTTCTTTCAGTAACAATAATTCATCGCAAATTATTAACAGTTACAAAAAACATTTGCGAGTTCGTTTCTGTATTTAAACTTAAATTATTGCTACTAATTTTGGGTGGTCTTTGTATCTTTTGGAGAGGGGAGTATTTGTAGCGTTGCTACAAACATTCGCAATTCACCTTCCAACAATTACAACATTTTTAGTAGCCATGTTTTCATTTTTTTTTGGTTACCGTGAGAAACTTTATAAAAAAAATGAACGTTGTTATTTTTAGTTTTCTATCAGTCTGGTCTGATTGTAACTACGTGTAAGACGTATATTAAAATTGTCTTTCAAAAAGAATAATATTTTTTTTTAATTTTTAAAAATATAGCAAGTCATAATCTAAATATATTCAATCTATCAAAACTAGCTATAGTGTTAATGAATCCATCCAGAAAAACGGGAGATATAATTGAAAAAGCGGAAAGAAAATGCTTGAGGATTATCTCTAAGATTAGACACCCAAACAACCCATTACACAATGTAAAAAACGAGACCTTATACGAAATGACTGGTACTGAACCCATAAGACTAACAATAAGACTAGAGAGACTACGGAAGAAATTTTTAGACAACAGAAACAATTATGAAAAAATACATAAATTATGATTAAAGAGACAAGCTGCACAGATACAAGTTGATGAGAGGAAGACAATATTCGAACTTTTTTCATAAATACTTATCTGATAATTAATAATAACATTGTTAAATTCTTTGTTGTAATTATAGCCAGCGGAAAGACCATTAGGTCAATAACTGTAATAAAGATTTATTTAACTAAAATATTGTTTTCTCAAAAACTAAAAGTTATTTTTCAAAACGGGTTAGTTCATTGGAAAGAGGACACTTTTATTAACACTTTGAGTAATTTTCATACTTATATTCCAAGAAATGGATTTTATACGAATTTTTAAAACTTAATCGGCGAAAATTGCAAAATTCGAAAAAATTGTCGATTATTACAAAAATTTATTTCTGAAGAACTAAAAGTGATTTTTCAAAACGGCTTTTTGCATTAAAAAGAGGATACTATAATTAATAATTGGTGATATTTCCACAAGGATCTTTCAAGAAGTTAATTTTATAGCGAATTTTGAAAATTATCGACGAAAATTGCAACATCGAAAATTTTATCAAAACTTCAAATATTGTTTTCTCAAAAACTAATAGTTATTTTTCAAAACGGGTTGGTTCATTGGAAAGAGGACACTTTTATTAACACTTTGGGAAATTTTCATACTCATATTCCAAGAACTGGATTTTATACGATTTTATAAAAATTGTCGATCGGATATCCGTTCCACCACTACACCTGTTATGTTTATTTTTTAGAGTGTTAATTGAAAAGTGCGTGCTATATTTTATGTTGTTGATTTTATATGAGCAATTAAAAAAAAAGGTTATGTAAATAAAGTTATAAAAAATTGTTGATATATATTATGGTGGAGGAGCCGGATATGCACACAAAAGTAGAGATAAAGTTTTGCCCATTAATTCTATGAGAAAGTTCTCGCTTCGGTTCATAACGGCCAAATTACGGGGACAATTACGAGGCGTCGGTCATCGCGACGCCGACGTCTCCATCCCTAGTAGTACCATCGAGGACGTAAATCGCGCGAACGACGCGTTGAAATATTAATTAACTGTGAAGAGGGGGGTTTTTGCAGCCCGAACTGTGGTTACGACCTCCACTGTTGGGACTCTCCCTAGGCGTTCAATTAATAGTATTTGCCCCCGACCCGGTAGAAGTAATTAATAATCGCGTTAAGGGAAATTCCCCCGTTTTGCAGCTGAGCTAACTTCCTCCACCACGTGATTTCAACATCATAGATACAATATTAATTAATTAAAATTGATTGCAAAAGAAATTTTTTTTTGTTTTAGATTTTTGAGTGTTAAGAAATGGTTATTGAGAAAGAAGCATCAAATAGAGTTAGCGAGGAAACGTGGATGGAAAGGCTACTGGGTGTGCTTGAAAGGAACGACGCTCCTCTTTTACCCTTGCGATTCGAGGGAGGGTCGATCGGTAGAAGCAGCCCCAAAACATCTCATTATCGTGGACGGTGCCATAATGCAACCCATTCCCGAGCACCCGAAGAGAGATTACATATTTTGCCTGAGCACGGCCTTCGGTGACGCCTATCTCTTCCAAGCACCTTGCCAGGTGAGTTTACCACCATCGATTTCGTTGTAAATTGCATTTTTATTACCAGGACAATTTAATAAAAATACCATTTCAAGTTGGTATCTTTAAGCACACAACTTTTTTGAGAATATATTTTTCCTTGTAACTAATAATTTTTTTCTCGCAACTCCTTTTATTGTACCAAACGTAATTTAGGTAACAGAACCCTACTAAATTATGATCTCTGTCTGTACTACCAATTAAGTTGAGTGGTAGTTTGTCATGTAAATAGATATTTACGTGCTCGGAATTCGAATAGAGAACCATTACTGGAACCATGTAATTTAACACAAAACTAGGATTAATAAATATTACATCTATTCTATTGTCGTGGAAATAAAATGACCGAGAGAGAACGTTATTACAAGTTATTTAGTGTTTCGAAGGATTTTACATACGTGATTTTAATCTTTTTAGAGGATTTTAAAAAACATTTTAAAAAGGATTTTAAAAACTGTGCATTAATATGTACAGGGTGTCCAAATTTCGATGGGTTTGCAGGGTATCTCAGTTATTATGAAAGATAGAAAGTTGCGGCTTTCGCGAAGCTGAGCTACTTTTTTGTGAAACTTACAATGGCGCAAACCAAATTTTCATAGTCCTCTTCGTTTTTGATATACAGGGAGTGTTTGAAATTTACGATTTTCAGACACCTCCTGTATCTCGGCTATCCGGAAACTTAGTAAAAAAGTAAAAACGGGTTCTAATAGATTTTTTCACGTGGAATCCAATGGTGCACGTAGAATTTTTCTAGTCATCACGGTTTTTGAGTTATAAACACAACTCAAATACTGAATACTCAACTTCTAAAATACTTAACTCTTTATAACTCAAAAACCTTGATGACTAGAAAAATTCTACGTGCACCATTGGATTCTACGTGAAAAAATCTATTAGAACCCATTTTTACGTTTCCGGATAGCCGACATACAGGGGTGTCTGAAAATCGTAAATTTTGAAACACTCCCTGTATATCAAAAACGAAGAGGGCTATGAAAATTTGGTTTGCGCCATTGTAAATTTCACAAAAAAGTAGCTCAGGTTCGCGAAAGCCGCAACTTTCTACCTTTCATAATAACTGAGATACCCTGCAAACCCTTCGAAATTTGGACACCCTGTACACTGTATATTATTATAACCAATACAGTCAATTCATATACAGTGTGTTAATTAATTATCGTACTCGACGTCATCATTGCAACTATGCAACCAACATCACAGTATTAATGTACTACCTAAATGACATGCTCCTAATCATTTAATTTAAGTGTTTATATGGATATTATTTATGGGCTTGAATCGTTCAGAAAATTACATTATTTTTAAGGCTTTCTCGAGACTGAAAGAGATTATTCGCGTTCCTTCAAACTTGAGACAGGTTCTAATTCTTAATAACGACTATTTATAAGAGGGGTTTTTTCAGAAACGTTTCTTGTCGCAAAAGAGGCTTATATTCGTTTAATAATAAATCAGCTAATCCCACAATACCATGCCACGTTGGGATTCCTGCATTGTGTAATTACCATCATTTCTTATTCGATATAACTTGGGATATATTCTAAGACATATTCAGTGTTTGTAATTTCACTTAATCTTTTGTCACGTTTGTCAGTAAACTCATCATCAAATTTTGAATTAACCTGCACACTTTTTTGCAGAATTTCTTGAAAGTTGATTTGATGCATTCGCATCATATTGATACCTCTTTACTTCCAGCCATTTATTATTGATGATAGCAATTATTTTTGGGGTTATACTCTTTATTTCATGTCTTGAAATAAACTTTTATTTGTCTCAAACGCCACTTCTCCGTTTCCTTGTCAGCTTCTTAATACTAACATGCCATGTGGCTAATCTGACTTTATTTCAAATACTTTTCGTGGGGTTCATCTGCTTAACTATTGATTTTTGGTATGGTTCTTTCGTCACAATCTATTTTTGATCTTGTCTATTTTGATCTATTCTGATGAATCATACACTTCATTTAAGATTACGATATTTCAAACATTACCTAGGATATTCACTATTATAGCTGTGGAAACTATTAATGTTGTTTCTGCCCTCGTCCCTTATTCGTTCATCTTTGTTAATTATTGTTCCAAGATATTCAAGTTGATCCCCATATCCAATCCTTTGTTGTGACATGCATAAATTTGCTTTTATCAATATTAATGTTCATTATTTTATGAAAGGATTGTTTCCAGACATATAGTTTGTTCTGGAATAGATTGACTTTGTAGCTATATGTAGTATATCATCCAGACAGATGAAGTACTGGATCATCTCTACTTCACTGCCTTACCAACAAAAAATTATTTTGATTTACGTCCATTGAGCTTTACTATTCCCATTATCTTCGCCTTTCTTGTATATGAGTTGGGTTGGATTGGGTTGGGTTCAATATAATATAGTGTCAGTATACTATAGCTCCTCTTCTTCTCTCCTGGTTTGCTCCCCAACCCACTTGTAGTTCTCCCACTGGGTGTGTGGGGATTTAATAAAAAAAGTCTTCCCCTGGAGTCTGCTTCTTTCTTGTTTTTTTCTTCATTGCCCTCCCTCTACTTCGTGCTTATCACATCTCTATCGAATCTTTCCACTGTATTCAAACCCATCTTGCTATTTAGCAGTTTCGCCACCCATCTCTCCGGTGTTAGAGTACCAGCAGCTTTTTCTCTTTCTTTCTTCCAGCGCTCACATTAAAAAAAGTTGTGATATGCACCATTAGTTCTTCAAAAGTAGTCGCACATCTCGATTTCTGCCCGATTATGCCGGTACTGATATGCCCTAAAGCGTCCAAGTGCGCTCATTAGTTGCCATTTCGTTATATCAGGAAGGATTTGTTTTGTCCATCGGACCTTGTCGTTATTTTTTTCCATCTGTCGCTTCTCGTCGTAATTTTGCTTGTATTTTGATTTTCTCTTTCTGACTATTACGTGGAAGGATGATGTATGTTCGACTAGCTAGAGAACCTGGCTAGAGACTGTTTTGTACGCGCTAATAGTTTGTATTAGTATGCCTATATATAGAGCGTTTATTGTTCTTTGAGCCCAAATACATCAGGGACTCCTAAATACTTTAGGGTAATTTTTTACTTTTACTCTTGCCTCTCTGTCACTTCGTCCGCTTTTCTGCATTATAGCTGTGTTCTTTTCTGGAGCTATTTCTAGTTCCATATCTTCCATATATTTTTTTAAACTGTTTATACTTCTTTGTGCTCGACTATACTCCACTTACTATAACGACAAGGTCGTCGGCGTATGCTATGTTTTTGACATTTTTGCTTTGTTGTCGAGGTTCTAGAATTTCATCCAAAGAGTCGTTACACAGCAAGGGACCCAGTATGATACTGCGGTACTCCCCTAGTGATCTTGCACTTCATGCCTTCATATTCCAAGTACCGTTCATCGAGGTAGCTCATTTTCCCAAGTTCCCATTTTCTTTCCAGTGCATCTATGATTTTTTCTCATGGTGCCGCTTCGAATGCATTTCTAAAGCCTAGCGTGATCAACATGATTCTTCTCTTTTTCCCTCTTAATCTTTCCGTCCTGGTTGAGAACCTCCTCTATTGCATGTACTATTTAGTAGATGTCTCTTTCGTAAAACCAAATTGGTCTTTTGAGAGATAACTTCGTATATTTGGGTTGGGTTAGGTTTGGTTCGGTTGGGTTCGGTTGTGTTGGGTTGGGTTGGCTACACTCCTGTTGGAATATTACCCAACCCATTTTATGATTGATTCTTCTCATTTCGTTCTGGCGTTATGTTGTTATCTCTGGACTCTTTTCTTTTCTGATTTCTTTTAGGATTTTTTAAATTTTTGCTGGAGTAATACCACCAATTTTACTCTTACTCCTTTTCTAGAAGTTAAATTCATTGTAGTTTTGTCAAACTTTTAGGACTTCTTCCGATTTAATCTTTACTTCTTGATTACTCATTGTTTCACAACCTTCTTCTTTGTTATTACCGATGTAGGCATCCAGACTCCCTTTGCTAATGTCTGATTTTATTTTATATCTTCTTGACTGCTCAGTGCAATTCTTCCCAAAGGTGTTCATGACCATTTTTGTGATTCCCACGTTTTCTTCAACCTATAGGTTTACTATTATTATGCTGCAACTTATGTATTCTACTTCCTATTGGTATTCCAGCTAAGGTTTTTGCTATTTCCGATTGATTACGATAATTTGTTGTCTAAATCCTATCCTTCAGTCTTTCATGCAATTTTCTCAGTAATTCAGAAGATTAATAACAGTTCTGTTGGCTTCGGTTGCACAATGGTCAATAGGTAGGTTTGAAAATGCAGATCTAAATGTAATATTGGCCACTCATTGCTAAATAATCCAAAATAGCAACTTGCAGCAATTTTAATGCTAGGGATATAGAAGGATTCTCCTAACAAGCAACATATGCTAAGACAACACGTGCTGTCACGTCTGTACTATATTTGTTGGCACAACCGCCAGTACTTACTTGTCCATGTTTGTTTACTACGTTTGTATTAAAATTAATTTTGTGATAGTTTTGCTAGCTATAAGAATCATCACGGTTCTTTTTATTATATTGAGCTTAATAACACCTTATCTAAAACAAACAAACAAAAACTTTAAAGCTATATTTTAAAAAATATCTAAATAACTTTTGTCTTTTATTAAAAAAAATTCCTTTGAACTCCTTTAAAGAAACCTTTTACTTGAGAAACTCCACTTCTTTGCTTTTAAAAGAGAGTTTAAAGGATCTCAACTAGTCGAACTGCCACTCTTTCGTTACCTAACAGGATCAGTCCTGTCCAATTATACGTGAAAGCAAGCAGGGGAATTTTACTCCACAGACAAATAACATCGAGTCGTTTCTGTGTGGCCCTTCTGAACAAAACCGCCGATTGACACCGAGGACTTAACGTTTTCGTGTTGCTTCACGGAGTGACACAGCATGGCCCCTTTTCAATAGGAAGTCTCGTGCTAATTCAACTAAACAATATAAATGGTTTTAAAAATGCAGCTACCAATTAAAAAATAACAAGAAAAATTATTAACCGTAAAATAATAGGAATAAAAAAGGAGAAGTCTTTTTTCCTTTTTTTTCGAAGGCTTAAGAAAAGTGGTGCACTAATTACTAGCTTTTTGATGAAGAAATTCCACCCTCTTAAAAATGTACTCATACTTTTTCAAGGAAAAAATTTTTTTTTTGATTTGAAAAAGAAAATCAACCTCACTCGCATATTTTGGGTGCCTCTTTTTCAGTCGGGAACCTTCAAAGGCTACAGGAAAACCCAATTATCCTACAAATGAACCCTATCGGCATGCTGACTACCGTTTCAAAGTCGATTTTAATCCGTTCATTTACAGGTCGAACTCGAGAATTGGGTGAACAGCATTCACAGTGCCTGTGCCGCGGCGTTTGCAAGACATCGAGGCAAAACGGGTACTCTACATCTTTTGCAAGAGGAAATATTCCGATTGGAAAAGGCTATCGAGACGGTGAGTGGTTGATTTATTATTTTTTTCAAAATTTTATTTTCTGCAAAAGAAGTTTTCTTCCTACGGAAACCGTTCACCGATGTGCATAAAATAGATCAACGATAAATTTTTATGGAAAACGATCGAAGTTCGCGCGAGAAGAATTTTAAATTACCTCATCAGAGTTTGAGTTTATGCTAGTTTTAAAAGTAATAGAAAAAAGTTCTTTAATTATCTTCAAAAAGAAATTTACGAAGCTTATAAACCGTATAAGCTTACACGTACTAAACACTTTGAATTTACCAACGGAACTTGAACGTGAGATTACATTTTAAGCTTAGCTTTAAAACAAGAAATGAAGTTGCTGCACCAAAATCCTAAACTTCCAACGTTGTTGCTAATAAGTCCATTTCCCGACGAAGAGAAAGTTTACCCTAAATTTAACGATTTTCACTCTAAATAAAGAGTCTCTTTAACCTACCTCATCGAAACAAAACGTTCTGCTCCTCATTTAAACCCACCTCTCTCCAGAGTCTTGTTCAACACCTTTTCGATCTTTTTCCGAGCAATTTGTTCCCAAAGCGAAAGAATAAGGAAGCGGTCGAGAGCTTGATTTAACTTGAGTCGTTCGGAAACCGATTTCTACGTGTTTCTGTCAGTAGAAAGAGATGAGTTTTACTTTCCAATTGTTGAAATAAAAATAAAAATCTCAATTACGACTTCTTTTTAGTTTTAATGGAGTTAAATAATTAATTTTATAGTTTATTAACAAAAATTGCGTATCACGTACCGATATTGTATGAATACATAGAGGTTGGACGTGATACCACAAACCATATAATTTTGGAAATATAACCGAAACGTGCGTTAATATCCAGGCCATAGCAATTCCATTTCGCTCCGGTCCAAAAATTGATTTGTTAAAATTATATCGGATTGTATCAATTTGATTTAGTTAATTAAAACACACACCCAAATATAAAGTTTTATTACAAAACCATTATTTATTTCTTTAAAAAAAAGTCGCATAAAACGTTTCCCAAAAAAAAAATGGTAAAAATAAAACAAGGGGAGTTAGTGGATAACTGCGTGAACTTGGAGCTGCCGTTCTGGCCCATTTCACCGATGGCCATAAATTTGGAGAGGCCCGTGGCGAGGATGGAACGGTCCAACTTCCGTTTTCGGTCGGTTCGGCTTTTTGGATCCACTCCAAATTCCCCAGGAGACGTTTTAAATTTAAGCCAAAGTCGCCGCATAAAAAAAATATTCACATCGACATAAATATTTAAATTTTGGCAGCGTTTCGAAGCTTTCAAAACTTTCTAGCTAATTATCAAAAAGTTTATTAATTTAAAAGAATTGAAATTACAGTAAAATTGCGATATAACGATTTAATACGGGAAAGGTAGTGTCTGTTATAGCCAAAATTTCGTTATATGAAAAATTTCGTTATATGCTAGTTTTAGTTTTAGTTTAATAAAAATGTACACCGATATAACTCTGAATAACAACTAAAATTAGAGCTAACATTAGCATTAGAAACTACCAAACTACACTAAATGTGTAGACTATCTTGGTGTACCAGCGCAACTACATAGGGAAGGTTTGGCAGCGCAGAAGATACCAGGATGAATTAAGTTATGTTCTCAATACTACAACAAGATAGCTATTTGTATTAAAATACGACATTTTAAATTCATAACTCAACAGAAATATCGATTCAAAGAGACGTTTAATCATAAGAAAAATTTGTTTAAGAAATTTTTAATCCATTATTTTAAATATTTATTATTACACATAATTGTTTTTATACACCTTCATAAACTCCAACGTTTTAGCTTTAATTTGAGATATATATCATTTTCCAGCTACCAAAAATAAAGATGGAGTGACTTTTAAAAGTTCTGGCTGTTACAAATTTGCAATTTTAAGTATATTATATTGTTTAATCAATATTTCCAAGAAATTTTTATTATTACACTTTATTGTTTATATAGAGTATCATAAACTAGAACGTTTTAGCTTTATTTCAAGATAAATATCATGCTTTAAAACTCAAAAATAAAGATTAAGTGATTTTTTAAAACTTTGATTAATTCAAATTGTAAGTTTATTTTTTAAGCAATTTTTAATCCATTGTTGTGTTAAATATTTATTATTACACATAATTGTTTTTATATACCATCATAAACTACAACGTTTTAGCTTGAATTTGAGAAATATATCATTTTGCAGCTACCAAAAATAAAGATGGAGTGACTTTTAAAAGTTCTGGCTGTTACAAATTCGCAATTTTAAGTATATTATATGTTTTAATCAATTTTTTCAAAAAATATTTATTGGTACACTTAATTGTTTATACAGAGTATCATAAACTAGAACGTTTTAGCTTTATTTTAAGACATATATCATGCTTTAAATACCAAAAATAAAGATGGAGTGATTTTTTAAAACTTTGATTAATTCAAATTTAAAGTTTTTTTTTAAAGCAATTTTTAATCTTCTTGTAGGAAATATTTATTATTACACATAATTGTTTTTATACACCATCATAAAGTATAACGTTTTAGCTTTAATTTGAGATATATATCATTTTCTATCTCCCAAAAATAAAGATAAAGTGATTAATTAAAATTAAAAAAATTTCAGATTTTCGTTTTTAAACAAATTGAATGTTTTAATCAAGTTTCCAAAAGATTTTTATTGTTACGCTTGATTGTTTCTATACATGGTCATAAACCAGAACGTTTTAACTGCAATTTAAGATATATATCATTCTCCAACTTCCAAAAATAAAGATGAAGTGACTTTTTAAAGTTTTTGCTGACATGCAATTTAAGTATGTTGAGTAATTTGATCTATTTTTGTAAAAAAATGTTATAACACTTAATTGTTTTTATATAGCATCATAAAATAGAACGTTTTAGCTGTCATTTAAGATATATATCATTCTCCAACTCCTAAAAATAAAGGTGGAGAGCTTTTTGAATACTTTGACTGATGATTTCAAATTTTAAGTACATTGCAATTTTTAATCCATTATTGTAGGAAATATTTATTATTACACATAATTGTTTCTATACATCATCATAAACTAAAACGTTTTAGCTTTCATTTTCTTTCATTTTCTATCTCCCAAAAATAAAGATAAAGTGATTATTTAAAATTAAAAATATTTCAGATTTTCGTTTTTAAACAAATTGAATGTTTTAATCAAGTTTCCAAAAGATTTTTATTATTACGCTTGATTGTTTCTATACATGGTCATAAACCAGAACGTTTTAACTTCAATTTAAGATATATATCATTCTCCAACTTCCAAAAATAACGATGAAGTGACTTTTTAAAGTTTTTAGTATCATGCAAAGTATGTTGAGTAATTTAATCTATTTTAAAAAAAAATATTTATTATAACACTTAATTCTTTCTATATAGTATCATAAAATAGAGTGTTTTAGCTATCATTTAAGATATATATCACTCTCCAACCCCTAAAAATAAAGATGAAGTGCTTTTTGAATACTTTGACTGATTATTTCAAATTTTAAGTACATTGCAATTTTTAATCCATTATTGTAGGAAATATTTATTATTACACATAATTGTTTCTATACATCATCATAAACTACAACGTTTTAGCTTTAATTTAAGATATATATCATTTTCGATCTCCCAAAAATAAAGATGGAGCGATTATTTAAAATTATAAAATTTTCAGATTTTCATTTTTCAACAAATTGAATTTTTTAATAATGTTTCCAAAAGATTTTTATTATTACACTTGATTGTTTCTATACATGGTCATAAACCAGAACGTTTTAGCTTCAATTTAAGATATATATCATTCTCCAACTTTCAAAAATAAAGATGAAGTGACTTTTTAAAGTTTTTGCTGACATGCAATTTAAGTATGTTGAGTATTTTGATCTATTTTTTTTTTTAATTTGTATCATAATACTTAATTGTTTTTATATAGCATCATAAAATAGAACGTTTTAGCTGTCATTTAAGATATATATCATTCTCCAACTCCTAAAAATAAAGGTGGAGTGCTTTTTGAATACTTTGACTGATGATTTCAAATTTTAAGTACATTGCAATTTTTAATCCATTATTGTAGGAAATATTTATTATTACACATATTGTTTCTATACATCATCATAAACTACAACGTTTTAGCTTTAATTTACGATATATATCATTTTCTATCTCCCAAAAATAAAGATAAAGTGATTATTTAAAATTAAAAAAATTTCAGATTTTCGTTTTTAAACAAATTGAATGTTTTAATCAAGTTTCCAAAAGATTTTTATTATTACGCTTGATTGATTCTATACATGGTCATAAACCAGAACGTTTTAACTTCAATTTAAGATATATACCATTCTCCAACTTCCAAAAATAACGATGAAGTGACTTTTTAAAGTTTTTAGTATCATGCAAAGTATGTTGAGTAATTTAATCTATTTAAAAAAAAAATATTTATTATAACACTTAATTCTTTCTATATAGTATCATAAAATAGAGTGTTTTAGCTATCATTTAAGATATATATCATTCTCCAACCCCTAAAAATAAAGATGAAGTGCTTTTTGAATACTTTGACTGATTATTTCAAATTTTCAGTACATTGCAATTTTTAATCCATTATTGTAGGAAATATTTATTATTATACATAATTGTTTCTATACATCATCATAAACTACAACGTTTTAGCTTTAATTTAAGATATATATCATTTTACATCTCCCAAAAATAAAGTAAATAATATAAAGTAATAATAAAATAAATTTTCATTTTTAAACAAATTACATTTTTTAATCAAATTTCCAAAAGATTTTTATTATTACACTTAATTGTTTCTATACATGGTCATAAACTAGAATGATTTAGCTTTAATTTAAGATATATATCGATTCCCAACTCCTGATAATAAAGATGGAGTGATTTTTTCAAATTCTTAAAATTTCGTACTTTCGTTTTTAAGCAAATTGCATTTTTTAATCAAGTTTCCAAGAGATTTTTATTATAACACTTAATTGTTTCTATACATAAACATAAACTAAAACGTTTTAGCTTTAATTTAAGATATATATCATTCTCCAACTCTCAAAAATAAAGATGCAGTGATTTTTTTAAGTTTTTACTATCAGTCTATTGTAATTTAAGTATATTGACTAACGTCTGAAGACGCACGGCTAAACCCGAAACTTTCTACTTCTAGGTCTAGTTTTAGTTCAATAAAAGTATACAACAATCTAACGCTAAATAATTACTAAAACTAGAACTAGAAACATTTTGGTTTAGCCCGAATGTTCGTTATATCGAGGTTTTACTGTATAAAGAAACATTTTTGACTAATTGACTAAAATTAATTGATAAATTTAATGATTTCATTAATTTTTTTTAGGATTAAACATTTCTTGTTAATTATCAAAAAGCTTTAGCACACATTAATAAATTTGTGGATAAATACAGAAATGGTGGAGGAGCCGAGTTTTAACATCATGAAATTGATAAAACACTAAAACCATAATTTTTTTATTATTTTTAGGATTACAAATTAAAACATATGGCAGAGATGCAGCAATCTGTCGTTGGAGATTCTGATGCAAGACAACAAATAGCCGGTCAAGTAGTACAATGGGAGGAAAATTTAGAAAGGTTACACTGCGAACAATTCAGACTGCGTTGTTACATGGCTAGTTTACAAAGTGGCGAATTACCGAATCCTAAGGTTAGTAGTAATAAAGAAACTTAGTTAAACGTAACTTCTTAGGATCGTCTTGCTTGTTGTCTTTGTTCTCCCCGAGGTTACAATAGTAACTTGGATGGACGACGCCTATCCGTACTGAAGGATAAAAGCCTTTTTCGCTTGAAAGTACGTGTAGATATCGCGTACAACCAGTTATAGAGATGTAACAAGAACGGGGAGGGGGTAACGGTGCACTACGAATAGAACGGGGGGGTGGAACGACGTGAAAGGTCCCATTGTAACCCCCTTCTTGCCGTTACTCAACGAGAATAAAGGCTTTTGTTAAATTCACACCTAAAGAAAATTTAGAATTTAATTTATCTGTTTAAAACAATATTGCATTCAAATATATTTAAAAATATTTCATCCTTTCAAATTATGCATATTTTCTCGTATATTATACGGCAAAAATTCAAGGCTAAGCTAAAAAAAGCGAAGAGGAAGAGTGCGGAATTCCACGAACGCCGCTTCAAAGAATGTTAAATATTTACCCTTGTCTCTTGCGTTTTGCGGATTTAAGCTTTAAAAGTGTTGGATTACCACCTCGCTTTTCGGGATAATCTTCAAAAACCACCTTTTATTTCATACATCATACATATTCCTTTAGAATTTTCTTTTTTGTTTGTGATGACTGGTCATTTTTTTTAATACAACATTCATAGCATGCCACATTTATATTTTTAACTTTAAATTTTCTCTAAATAGAAAAGTTTTAAGAAAATGACTTAATATAAATTTGTGTTGTTTAAAAGTTATATATTTAAAAAACGATAGGATTATATTCACATTATAAAGTTAAAGGAAGATGGACGAGCGTATGAATTCCAATAGAACCTGATAATCTCCTGGAGGTTTGAGAACTTCGCGGAAACTAATTTCGAAAGTTAACTTCGTCAGGCTATTATGTTTTCCTTTAAACTTCTCCAACATGCTGATCCTTAGCTGTAGATTTGATAATGTCTTGTTTCGAATTATTTGAGAACTTGCCCTTATACGGGGGGTCACAAAAGAATACGATACTACAAAGAAATGAGAAAAAAGAATTTTTGGTAGAACCTTAAATTATAAAGAACAAATTAAAAAAATTCAATAAAATCGATCGATAAACAAGAGGAGGATGTAATTGGTATAGCACACAATGTTTACTCTATGAATTATTTGGATAGATAAATTTGAACTACATGTAAATTTTGAGAATATCCATACAGTTCTATACAGTTTTGTTCTTCGTACATAAATTTGTATTACCAATATTTCCTAAGAATATAACAACAGATAAATTTCGAGTTTTATCAACACTTAACTATTTAACAGTAAGTAATAAAGAGCTATTAAAAACAGAGAAGATTGTGAAAAGAATTATTCACATTGTACATGCACTGGAATAATATTAGCCAATCTAAAACTGGGGCATAGGAGTTTTATGGGATCACCTAGGACGTGCGATACCTTCTATATACTAGCGTTGAAACAAATCATTAGATTCTACTTTGCATGTTGTTTTATAAAACAGTAATAAAAAGAAAAATGTGATTGTTTGTTTTTGAAACGAAAACGTTGTTTACGTATTGATTTTCTTGTTGGTAAACTTCGAGAAATTGAATTATGACTTGGGATAGTATACAAAACTTTCTTGCTAATATCGACCACGAACAACTCTGTCACAACATATATAGTTCATCGTTATCGTGCAATCTTACACGCGGTGTCGAGTTCACTCTCTATACGAAAACATGTTCAGTGACCAATTTTAACTCCTGCAACCTCAAAGTTGTTGAATTCGTAATAGAGATATTTCTCCAGATAAACTGGTGAGAGTGGAATAAACATTAAAGGAGAAGTTCCAAATGTGTATTTCCGTCAAGCCCAACACTTAGAGTTTATAATTGTTAAAACAATTTTTGTTTTGGTTTTTATCAGAACTTTAAGTTTCGGGTCTCCGGTGACTCGATGATATTATAAGGGCTAAAGAGCGATTCGTGATGAGGATGTACATAAACAATACAACAAATTTGAACATAAACAAGAACAAAAACTTAATCAGAAATGGAAAAAAAAATTCTACAGTGATAAATATTAGCAGGACACTGAGCCAGTTCCAATGCGAACATTGTAGTAAATGAGAGATTCGATGACGCCTAATTTATTTTTTATTGTGAATGCAGAAAGGACCCATAATGTTTTTTTGGGAAAATAATACGTCTGCAACAGCTAAACTAAGTTCTTGGGTTTATCTCTTGATCCCAAGTTAACATGGAATCCACATATTGATATCATAAGTAAAAAATTAACGTCAGCAATTTTTACAATTAGACGTCTCAGCAAAATTGCATCTCATGAAGTTGCCAAAATAGCCTATTTGCAAATTTTCATGCTGTTGCAACATATGGCATAGTTGTTTGGGGTCATTCACCTGGCTTAAAAAGAATTTTTGGTTTGCAGAAGAAGGCGGTGGGAGCTTTATGCAATCTTAAAACTACTGACAGCTGTAAAAATATATGTAAAACAAAATGTATACTTACCGTACCAAGTGCATACATCTTGGCTATCTTGATGTATATTTATGACAATAGAAGTAAATTTAATGCGAATGCAAAATTTTACACACATGACACAATAGGCAAAGATGAACTGAGATTACCGTTACATAGGATAGAAGCAACTAAAAGATATGCTGAGTTCAATTTTTCAACAAGTTGCCAGAAGAAATCAAAACTATGGAACGAGAACATCTAGAACTTCAAAAAATATGTGATTATATGCAGGATCAATTTGTGGAGTAACAAAGTTAATTTGTTTTATTACTATACTTATTATACCTATATACATGTTTATTTTGTATTTGCTGTTGACTTTTCACTGTAATACTGTATTACTTACGTGAATAAACGTTATTGTTATTATTATTATCTGGAGCAATAAGCCAGGGCTAAGATTTGATGGAATTCATTAGACATGAAAACAATAGATCTAATTATTTCCATATCTGGTTCTCTTAATTCGGTTATGAATCATAACTTATGATACATTAAAAAAGCCTCATTCAACTTTTAAGTGAAGTATTAACGAAAGAACACTTTCAAACGAAACATAAAATGAAAAATTACAAGATTGAAATTGAATTATTTCACGATATTAATAATAATAAAAACAGTGTCACATTACTTTATTCGTTACATAGCTTTTGCTTAGCAAAGCAGTAGGTTGGGTTGGATTGAGTTGACACCTTCAACGTAACATGGATAATCTTGATGAGATACTTGATCAAGATTATCCATGTTATGTGAGCTCTGAACTTCGCTATATTACATATTGTTCGTTTCGAAAAGCAGTGAGATGAGTTCGATTGACTTGGGTTGGGTTGGGTTGGGTTGGGTTAGGTTGGGTTGAGCATTATTTTATTCGTCACATAGCTTTTACCTAGCAAAGTAGTAAGATAATTACATAGCCTGATTTCTCATCTCCTGTTACACACAACACTAAGCACAAAATTATTACTAATTCATATCTTCTTTTTGCCGTCCCCGACATTTGGATGTGCGTAAGCTCACAATGGCTAAGAAAGAATTCCAACAAATGGTCGCTATGGACATTTGTCGACCATCCTCTTCATCTTCGCAATCGGCTCTTCACATGGTGCCAAAAAAGATTCTAATCACTGGAGACCATGTGGAGATTACCCCCAACTGAACAACGTTATTGTGCCAGATCGCTATCCGTTACCTCATATACGTGACTTCAACATTCATTTACACGGATGCAAAATCTTTTCGAAAATCGACGTGGTCAGAGCGTATCATCAGATACCGGTAGATGAAGAGGACATTCCAAAGGCAGCTATAACAACTGACAACCCCTTTCGGTCTTTTCGAATTCGTGCGCATGCCTTTTGGTCTTCGAAATACAGCACAAACGATCTTCTGTCAAAATCTATCTTCCTAGGACATCCCTCTTCACTTGCTGCACTATCATTTTCAACTCATGCATGTAACACAGGTATGGGAGCTGTTTTAATACAAACCATCAATGGAAAATCTCAACCATTAGCATTCTTTTCCAAAAAATTTACTTCATGCCAAACCAAATATACAACTTTTGATAGAGAACTATTAGCGATCTACTCTGCTATCAAATTTTTCAAACATTCCTTACATGGAAATCAATTTACAGTATATAAAGATCACAAACCCATTGTCACGTCAATTTTTTCGTCCACATACAAAACTCCTCGTCAAACCCGATATCTAAGTTACATTGCACAATTTACTTCAGATATCAAATACATCAGAGGAAATTCATGTTGTCGCAGATACTCTATGCAGAACAAACATATGATCTCTAAATTCATCTTATCCAGATTTTCTAACCCTTAGCAACGCTTAACTTGCTGACACAGAATTGTCAAACTTACTGAATAAACAATTTTCCAACAATCCTTCAAAATTTTATCTTTTGGTAGATCAAACAACATCACAATATAATATGAAATTGTGGTGTGAAACCTCTTCATCATCTCCAATAATTTATATTCCACAACAGTTCAGACAAGCAATTTTCGTCAAAATTCATAGCTTATGTCATCCCGGGATATGTTCCACCATTCATACAATCAAAACAAGATTCTTTTGGCCACACATGTCAAAGCAAATTCATGTTTGGACCAAAACCTGCTTAAAATGTTAACGAGCAAAGATCCAAAAACATGCAAAATCACCAACTGCTTCACTGATGGCCAGATGCTTTTCCGCTAAAAGATATCACAGCTTCTGCTATAGCGAACACATTTTGCTGGTATTATTTTAGTCGATTTGGTATACCTACCACAATTACACATGATCAGGGACGACAATTCGAATCAAACCTTTTTGCAAAACAAATACAACAAGCTACAAATACACACATCATCTTTCAGTCCTCAAGCAAATAGAATGTTAGAACGATTTCATCGCTCATTGAAGACAGTTATCATTGCTAAAGGAGATACGATTAGATGGAACAACAATCTACCCCTCATCCTATTAGAATAGAGAACATCTCTTAAGGAAGATCTAACTGCTGAAAATCTGTAGAATATGAGCCTTTCCTCTGCAGTTTATGAAAAACTTTTCCACTAAACTCATTCTACTACTTGATCAAGATTATTCATGTTATGTGAGGTTTGGACTTCACTAATGTATACAATATGTAATATATTGTTCGTTTCTAAAAACAGTAAAATGAGTTCAGTTGGCTTGGGTTGGGATCCTCACATCTTGATGAGAGTTCGAATCATGATGCTCCCTGTTATGTTGAAGCTTTCAGTCAATTATGTTAAGCTTGATTATGTGAACCTCATTATCACTTGTTCTACCCATAACCAAAAATGTGACAAAATCTTTCTCTGATAAGATATCCGAAATATAAAGCCAAATTCAAACAAATACGTTCGTTTTTCCGGTTTTTGCAAAAAAATGCCTTCTATAAATAATATACTATAAACTACGCAGCTACATGACGCAATTCTGAGATATTCTAGGGTACATAATAAAACTACAGTGTTGCATTAACTTGAATTACTCTCTTGACAGGTTTTGAGTTTATGCGCATTTTTCTTCGAATAAGAAAGATAAAATTTAAAAAAACACTTTCTATCTTCGAGTATCAATTTGTAGTGCATGTTACGATAATGAATTAAGTTGAGTTGGATGAAGATGCCAAAATGCCAATCTGGCTTAAATTGAATGGAAATAACCTTTGAACTAACTTGGATGGAAACGAGCTTTTATTTGGGTCGGTATAGCTGAAGTAAGCTCGAAGTTACGTGAAACAGAAATGTGGTGAGGTACAACTTAGCCGAAATGCATGTTCGAGTTATTTAGTTGTCTCAAACTATACATTGGGAATTAATGACTGGATTTATAGCAGAAAAGTTTTGGGACGAATAAGATTAATTTAAGTTAGACGTAGATAAGGTTTGGTTTGGAATAGGCTTGCATTAGAGACGTTACTTGAGATTGGATTCAAGGAATTAATTCATTTTGCTGTCAAAAGTCAGATTGGATTGATTTTCTGACGATTGAGTCGAAATCTTATTATTTTAGGTTAATCAATGCAATGTTTGCAACGCAATGAAAAGAGTTTTATGTTGAACCAGCCTGATCCAAAGCAACCCAATTCTACCTGATATGTCTAAAAAACTAGATGATTAAAAATGTGAAGTACGTCATCATCAGCAATCAGGCTAAAAAAACATTGATGTTTACAGAATTATAAAATATATTTCTACAAGATGACAGAATTAAATAAGAAATTACCAGAGCTTTCCAGAATTAAGTAAAATACATCCAGGGACTGCCAGAATTTAAAAAACTATTTCCGTAATATCCATAACCTGACAGAATCAAGAGAATGTTTCGAGAAACAGACAGTATTAAGCAAAATAGTGCCAGAAGCTGTTAAAATTTGGCAGAATACTTTTAGAGTTCGGAAAAATTAAGCAAAACTCACACGATTAAGTGGAATATTGTCAAAAGTTGATAGAGACAAGTAAAATACTTACAAAAGTTACCAATATGGTGACAAAATATAATAAAATACGTCCAGAGATTGATAGATATAAACGAAATTTTATTGGAAGCTCTCAGAATTAAGTAAAATACTTTCACAAGCAGTCAAAATTTAAAATAAATCATTGATGTTTACAGAATTATAAAATATACCTCTACAAGGTGACAGAATTAAACAAGATATTATCAGAGGTTGTCAGAATTAAACAAAATACTTCCAGAGACTGTTAGAATTTAAAAAACTATTTCCGTAACATCCATAAACTGTCAGAATCAAGAGAATGTTTCCAGAACCTGACTGTATTAAGTAGAATAGTGTTAGAAGCTTATAAAATTTAGCAGAATACATCCAGAGTTCGGAAAAAATAAGCAAAACTCACACGATTAAGTGGAATATTATCAAAAGTAGATAGAGTCAAGCAAAATACTTGCAAAAGTTGTCAATATTAAACAAATTACTTCTAGATACTAACAAAATTAAGCAAAATAGTTCCGGATGTTGACAGAATTGGGAAAGGCACTCCCAGAAGCTGTCAGAATTAAGCAAAATACTTCCAGAGATTTCCTGAACTTAAAGTATTTCATTATATTCATTACTTTATTCTATGGAATAAAAACTTTACACGACAGTCAATTATGTAGTATCTAAGGAACATTATGTAACCCTAACTTTAAGCAGAAATAATAGTATGTGAAGAAGCAGCAATTAAATAAAATGCTTTTCGAATATAACAAAAATAAACAAATTGACCCAGAAGCTGCTTTATGCTAAATATGTCCAGAAGCTAAAAAATAATATTACAACAATTTCAATATGGTGACAAAATATAACAAAATACGTCCAGATGTTGATAGATATAAACGAAATGTTAGCCAGGGTGATTTATTAGCTCACCATCAAATTTTGACATATGATAGCTAATCCAATTACCAAAAAAAATGTTAATGAACATATGTTCTATTTCAATTATTTACGAAATTATAACACTTTAAAGTTTTCTGCATCGAATTTATTAATAGTCAGTAAAATCAAACATTCAACAAAAACAAAGTTGTCATTGTAATATGTCAGTTTGCTGTAAGGTTTAATTATTCCATACAAGAAGCAACTCAAAATGTACGCTTATAGCACTGAAGAGTTTACTGATATAATTTTCGTGTATGGTTTTTGCAATGGAAATGTTGGACAATCAGTACGAGAGTGTCAAGAAAGATTTCCATAGCGGCATTTGCCATATTATTCAGTTTTTAGCGATTCTGTAATTAATGCTGTCATTGATAATCCGTCCATCAGCACTCAAAGAATAGCACACAAGCAACGGTTAGCATTTTATAAATGGTTATTGCAGCCCAAAATAATGACTTCATTTCAAATGCTCTCTGGACAGATGAATCATGTTTTACACAAGATGGTATAAATAATTACCATAATGAACATATCTGGGCATTACACAATCCGCATGCAATTAGACTAAGGAAATTTCAACAACGTTTCAGCATCAACGTTTGGGGTGGAATATTTAACAACAATTTACTAGGTTTGCATTTTTTTGGTAATTGGATTAGCTATCATATGTCAAAGATTGATGGTGAGCTAATAAATCACCCTGTATAAATGATAAACCTACATGACATGTACAACAAAGTTCTTTTATAAGATTTAGATAGAGATTAACATTTTTTTGTGGTTTCCAGAAACGCATAAAATCAACTGTAGTATTTGATAGAATCGATTTGAAACAACTATGAGGTAAAACTTGGTCAAGGTAACCAGGGGCGATTAATAATTAATTTTGTGTGGTCACAAAAACTGTAGAAAAAGCGAAATCCTAAACTAGAATAGTCTATAAGCTAGATTTTTTTGTTTTTTATAAAATTTTTTTATTTATTTCTTTTTCAGTCTCTTTTAACTCATGTGTCAAGAGCAACGAAAAATACGTTGAATAAGTTGGGTGTATTCACCGTTTCATCATTCCACGCGTTTATCTGCGCAAGAAGTCCCTCTTTATTGAACAATCTCCTAGCAGGAAGAGGGGCAACGAAAAGAAGACCTCCTATGTTGTCCAGATCGAACAGCGGCTCGAGCCGCAGGTCGCTGCAGGTAAAACCTGGATTTGTATTTAAATTGATGCAAATCCCGAACAATAAACACCCTTCGATCCTTTTCCCGATGGTCCTTTTCAAAACTACCCTTTTCGCTTACTTTTCCCTTCTCGCATCTTACAGCGACGACGACGCCGTTATTGAACCTTTTCACGTTTATGTCACAATCGAAATTTTTTTGCTCTTATACTGCAAATTGTGTTCGTGTTACGAAAGTGGCTGTTAAATTAAAACGGGGTTTAATTAATTTTCTTCGGCACGTGAATGTTTATTGCTTAATTTTGATACCCTGATTATTTTAAAGTGGCCCTTAACTCTAAAAGTTTAATTTATCTTTTGAGATACAGAATTAAAAGTTTTGAAGGGTTTATTATTTCATTTCGTTGCAACTTGAGAACAAAAGTAAATTTTTTTTGTGTTAAATTCTCGTTTTGTTTCAAACTTTAACCCGCAAGAATAAGTGTTTGCACCGTTTTTTTTTTTTTCTGAAAATGAAAAATTTAATTAAAAAAAAATCGAGGTCGTAAAATAACCTTTTTCCATTAAAAAAGCTAAGATCAAAAAAGTCTTCTCTAGTTTGTTCTAAAGCTTAAGGTTGACGGGAGAAACCCTTCTGCCGTCAAGTCGCGTAAGTGCAAGAATGTCAAAAGCCGCGTTCGTCCTCCCAACGGAGAGGAAGAAAAAAAAAGCGCAAAAAGCTCGTTAACGGAACAACATAAATTTCCGACTTTTTTCCTTCTTTTTCCTCAGATGAACTCAAGGGAGGAGTCCGAGAAGACCGTCAAAGTGGCTCTTCCAGATAATGCAACTGCCACCGTTTACGTTAGAGAAGCAATGTCAGTCGAAGAATTTTTGACAAGCGCATGTTCAAGAAAAAGTCTTAACCCAACCGAACATTTCATCCGAGTTAAAAAACGAAGAGATATGGAGGATCATAACTATTTCGTACCTCATAGAAGCGATCTAATTGAAACATATGTGAGAAAACTTTTAATTATACTTTTTTTCAAACCTTGTTAAAAACCGGATCTTCTTTCTCTAATCTCCTCTAATTACTGCATAAATAAAAACAAAGAGCTTCCCGCTCACCCCCAATTTGCATATTTTAATTGCTGGCGACGAACGAACTAAAAACCAGACTTAAATATCAATTTCAGAAGGGTTTATTTACATTTAATAATTTCGTGGTCCATATCCATAATGCATTTAATAATAAAAAATATTAACACAAAATTCTTTCTTTTTAATCTTTTAGCTTCACACCCACGAAATCGTTGAAGTTTGTGCCAAAATCCTTTATCAAGTTGAACTTTCAAGAAACACTCTTGAACAAATGTGGGGTTTCAGCGTCGAAGCGGAATTAGTGGAGAATGCGGACAGACAAGATGAACTTTGTTGTTACGTTAGTCGTGTTGAAGATAAAAGCGTAGCGATGCAAAACGGTAATTTATCTAATTACTCTTAAATACAGCAAAACTTTGATATAACGGATTAATACGGAGAAGCGAGTATATTTAGTCTTCTGCAAGCAGTAAATAGCTACTTTCAAGCACAAAGTAGCCTTTCCAAGCAGTATCTACTGTTTTATAAGCAGCAAATATCCTTCTACAAGCAATCAATAGTCTTCCCAAGTAGTGTCTAGTCTTTTACAAGCAATAAATAGCCATCTGCAAGCAGAAAGTAGTCTTTTCAAGCAGTATTTAGTCTTCTGCATGCAGTAAATAGTCTTTTGCAAGCAGAAAGTAGCCTTTCCAAGCAGTATCTAGTCTTCTGCAAGCAGTAAATAGCCATCTGCAAGCAGGAAGTAGCCTTCTGCAAGCAGTAAATAGCCATCTGCAAGCAGGAAATAGTCTTTCCAAGCAGTATATAGTAATCTGCAAGAAAAAGTAGCCTTCTGCAAGCTGAAAGTAGTTTTCCCAAGTAGTATCTAGTCTTCTGCAAGCAGTAAATAGCCATCTGCAAGTAGGAAATAGTCTTTCCAAGCAGTATATATTAATCTGCAAGCAAAAAGTAGCCTTCTGCAAGCTGAAAGTAGTTTTCCAACCTGTATCTAGTCTTCAGCAAGCAATAAGTAGCCGAAGCAGAAAGTAGTCTTCCCAAGCAGTATCTAGTCATCTGCAAGCAGTAAATAGCCATCTACAAGCAGAAAGTAGTCTTTTCAAGCAGTATTTAGTCTTCTGCATGCAGTAAATAGTCTTTTGCAAGCAGAAAGTAGCCTTCCCAAGCAAAAAGTAGCCTTCCTAAGCAGTATCTAGTCTTCTCCAAGCAGTAAATAGCCATCTGCAAGCAGTATCTAGTCTTCTGCAAGCAGAAAGTAGCCTTCCCAAGCAGTATCTAGTCTTTTGCAAGTAATAAATAGCCATCTACAAGTAGGAAGTAGTCTTTCCAAGCAGTATATAGTCCTCTGCAAGGAGTAAATAGACATCTGCAAGCTGAAAGTAGTTTTCCAAGCAGTATCTAGTCCTCCGCAAGCAATAAGTAGCCATTTGGAAGCAGAAAGTAGCCTTCCCAAGCAGTATCTAGTTTTCTGCAAGCAGTAAATAGCCATCAGCAAGCAGGAAGTAAACGTCTGTAAGCTGAAAGTAGTTTTCCAAGCAGTATCTAATCCTCAGCAAGCAATAAGTAGCCATTTAGAAACAGAAATTAGCCTTCCCAAGCAGTATCTAGTCTTCTGCAAGCAGAAAGTACCCTTCCCAAGCAGTTTCTAGTCTTTTATAAGTAGTAAATAGCCATCTGCAAGTAGGAAGTAGTCTTTCCAAGCAGTATATAGTCCTCTGCGAGCAGTAAATAGCCATCTGGAAGCAGGAAGTAACCTTCTGCAAGCTAAAAGTAGTTTTCCAAGCAGTATCTAGTCCTCAGCAAGCAATAAGTAGCCATTTGGAAGCAGAAAGTAGCCTTCCCAAGCAGTATCTGGTCTTCTGCCGTTTTAGTTTTTAAAATATGGCCGAAAAACAAAAAAATTACTTTTTCGTTTTTTGCCTATAACTTCTTTATTTTTCGTTTTTTCGTGAATCTGAAGACATTCTTAAGACAGTCGAAGTATTCTTCATAAGTATTGTTTGTTGGTTTCTATAGAAACACTTAGCGCACAAGTTACAGCCTCCTAATAAGATATTCGTTTTTCTTTTGAACAATTCAATGTTTTTTAAAATGAAATAGTACATTGTGTGACAAATCATTGACATCAGAATTAATTATCCTATTTTTTGACGTGAAATGGCGTTCATAAGAAAAAATAAACCTAATGATAGTTTCACGTAAACGAAACGTCGGAGAAAATTTCTAGTTTTGTCATGACATTTTTCATAAAAAGTTGCCTTAAGAATGTTTTTTCAGATTCACGAAAAAACGAAAAATAGAGAAGTTATAGTCAAAAAACGAAAAAGTAATTTTTTTTTGTTTTTCGGCCATATTTTAAAAACTAAAACGGCTAGATCCAAAATCTTAGTTGAAAAATGATGAGCTCTAAGAAATGCAATTTTGCCCCCATTTTGAATTACCCTGTATAGTCCTCTGCAAGCAGTAAATAGCCATCTGCAAGCAGAAAGTAGTTTTCCAAACAGTATCTAATCCTCAGCAAGCAATCAGTAGTCATTTGGAAGCAGAAAGTAGCTTTCCCAAGTAGTATCTAGTCTTCTGCAAGCAGTAAATAGCCATCTGCAAGCAGGAAATAGCCTTCTACAAGCTGCAAGTAGTTTTTCAAGCAGTATCTATTCCTCAGCAAGCAATAAGTAGCCATTTGGAAGCAAAAATTAGTCTTCCCAAGCAGTATCTAGTCCTCTGCAAGCAGTAAATAGCCATATACAAGCAGAATGTAACCTTCCCAAGCAGTATCTAGTCTTCTGCAAGCAGAAAGTAGCCTTCAGAAGCAGTATCTACTCTTTTGCAAGTAGTGAATAGCCATCTGCAAGTAGGAACTAGTCTTTCCAAGCAGTGTATAGTAATCTGCAAGCAAAAAGTAGCCTTCTGCAAGCTGAAAGTAGTTTTCCAAGCAGTATCTAATCCTCAGTAAGCAATAAGTAGCCATTTGGATGCAGGAAGTAGCCTTCCCAAGCAGTATCTAGTCTTCTGCAAGCAGTAAATAGCCATCTGCAAGCAGGAAGTAGCCTTCTGCAAGCTGAAAGCAGTTTTCCAAGCAGTATCTAGTCCCCATCAAGCAATAAGTAGCCATTTAGAAGCAGAAAATAGCCTTCCCAAGCAATATCTAGTCTTCTGCAAGCAGTAAATAGCCATCTGCAAGCAGAAAGTAGCCTTCCCAAGCAATATCTAGCCTTCTGCAAGTAGTAAATAGCCATCTGCAAGCAGAAAGTAGCCTTCCCAAGCAATATCTAGTCTTCTGCAAGTAGTAAATAGCCATCTGCAAGCAGAAAGTAGCCTTCTGCAAGCAAAAAATAGTCTTCCCAAGCAGTATCTAGTCCGTTTTTTCGTTATATCCAAAGTCCGTTCTAACGAGATCCGTTATATCGAATTTTTACTGTATGTCCCTAAATTTAACCAAATTCTTAGAATTTAACTTTCCAAAACTTTACTAATTATCCAACTAATTATCCAATTAAATTTTTAACAAGTAATTAATTCTAGGAATCATTAAAGGTGATGAAATAATGGTTATAAACGGTGCCATAGTCTCCGATTTAGACATGATGTACTTAGAAAGTGTTCTACAAGAAGAACTAGCACTGTGCATGATGATGAGATCGTCAAGAACGGAACCACCAGATTTGGCGGGAATTTTAAGAGCAACTGATGATATAATCGATAGTTTAGTTTGTCCACCTCCTCCATCGGAACCTCCCGTTATAAGCGAAGAAATGATATCAGGCTTGATTGTTCCGGCACCTGGTAAAGATAGATACAGCGTTGAACCTGAAAATCCGATCACTTCAACAGCTGATGTTTTGTCGTTGGCTAAAGTTTCTTCAAGAACAAATTCATTTGAAATTGAAAATTTATTAAAGACTGCCGAACAAGTGACTGGATTTTGTAGGTCTCCCGTAGAGACTCGAAAGTCTAGCCCGACCGGAAGTGTTATTAGTAACACTTCGCAAGCGTTGTTGACCCCATCTCGTCAACTAAGTGATGCCGAAAAGTTGCGAAAAGTCGTTCTCGAGTTGGTGGATACTGAAAGAACTTACGTGAAGCACCTTAATAATTTATTAGAAAACTATTTAGAGCCATTGAAAAAAGAAACTTTCTTATCCAACGCTGAAATTAACGCTCTATTCGGTAACATACAAGAAATCGTTGCTTTTCAACGACAATTCTTGCAAAACTTGGAGGAAGCTTTGGAGTTAGAACCCGATTTTCACAAATTCGAATTTCCCGGGCAATTTAAAAACGTTCTTTTCTCCGTTGGAAGCGCCTTTTTGTACTACGTTAATCATTTTAAATTGTACAGTTCTTTCTGTGCCAGTCATAGTAAAGCTCAAAAAGTGTTGCATCCAAGTAAGAAATTAAAAATTAAATTTTATGTTTTTTAAAACATTTAAATTCTAGATGAAGGAAATCAAGCACTGCAAGAATTTTTGGCTGCCAGAAATCCACGTCAACAACATTCCTCCACTTTAGAATCATACCTTATTAAACCTATTCAAAGAATATTGAAATATCCATTGTTGTTGCAACAATTGAGAAATTTGACTGATTCAAATTGTGACGAACATATGCATTTAGTTGGTAAGATAACAAATTTTGAAACTTTAAATGTGTAATTTAATTTTTTTTGGATTTATTTAGAGGCCTTAAAAGGAATGGAAAAAGTTGCTGAACACATTAATGAGATGCAAAGGATCCATGAAGAATACGGAGCAATATTCGATCATCTTTTTAGACAGCATCAAAAATCATGCAAACAAGTACATGTAGAAATTTTAGATTTATTTATTTAAAAATGTAATTTAATATTCTTATTTTTTTAGCCAATCGATTTAAGTCCCGGGGATCTTTTATATTACGGAGGTGTTGAATGGTTAAACATATCCGATTTCTTAGGAAAAATCAAAAAAGGTCTTGAATTACACGCGATGTGTTTCGTTTTTAAATCGGCAGTCGTCTTCCTTTGCAAAGAAAGGCTCCGCCAAAAGAAAAAACTAATGGGCGTATCCAGTAAAAGCAGCGCTTCGGAAGTTGAAATAATAAGATACCAAGTACTTATCCCAGTAACTGAAGTACAAGTTCGAGCTTCATCCGCTAAAGACATGGATTCTCACTTCCTTTGGGAATTGATCCATTTGAGAAGCCAACTACAAAGAAGATCTGAAAAAGTTTACGTCCTTTCAAATAGCACGGCTGATTTTAGGAACGCATTTTTGAAAACGATTCGACAAATCATTAGAGAATCGGTTAGAAATATGTCAATACCCGCCACAAAACCTGGCGGAGGTCCCGGTATTTTATTAGTTACCGGCCATAAAGTAGAAGGAATGAATAGCCAAACTTTAGAAAGGCCCGCACCTAAACCCATAATAATACAAGGATCTCATACTTTAGGAAAAACCAAAAAATCGAAATCTAATCAAAGACATTCAGCTGGAAATATCGATTACGATAATATTAGTCAGGAACACGATGATGTTCCTACTACATTTAGATCTAGAAGTAAAACTTTAGGAGACGCCGCAGGTAAATTATTTGTGGATTTGTAGATTGTTGTGGTAATTTGAACAGAATAATTTGATTTTTTTGAATTAGATGCTCCGAAAAGACACGAACCTGAAAAACCAGATCCCGGAATTAAGTCTGAAGGTGAAGAGGACTCCCAAACTGGCCAAGTCGTTCCTAAGACAAAATCTGGGTTGGGAAAAACACCAAATCATTTAACTTTAAGGTAATAAAATTTTTATAAAGTTACTCCTTAAAAAATTTGGAATATTTGTAATACTTCTTCTACTGGCCTAGGAAAAAACTCACCATCAAATCAAAAGATTTTTATGTCATTACTTTCTTTCATTAATGTTCTATGAGTCTTAAGGATTATCTCAGATTCCTAAGAAATTTTAGAATGAATTTTGTTGCATCTGGATTATCAAAAATTTGTCGTGTTTTAAGCGAATTGGCCGCATATTAAAAACCTATTACTTAGTACTCCACCATTCACAGGAATTAGTATCTCTTGAAGGTGTTGGACGCTGCAGATAATAATCAAGTTCAGCTCCAATAGGACTTTTTTCATTGAATACAACTTTATTTATCATTAGTAACAATCCCAATACGATATATAAAATCTCATCCAGTTCTTGGAATCTGAATATGAAAATTTCCCAAAATGTTAATAAAAGTGTCGTCTTTTCAATGAACCAACCCGTTTTGCAAAATAACTGAAAATATGATAAAATTTTCGATGTTGCAATTTTCACCCATAATTTTCAAAATTCGCTATAAAATTAATTTCTTGAAGGATCCTTGTGGAAATATAACCAATTATTAATTAAAGTGTCCTCTTTTTAATGCAAAAAGACGTTTTGAAAAATCACTTTCAGTTCTTGTAAAATAAATTTTTGAAATGATCGACAATTTTTTCGAATTTTACAATTTTCGCCGATTAAGTTTTAAAAATTCCTATAAAATCCAGTTCTTGGAATATGAGTATAAAAATTTCCCAAAGTGTTAACAAAAGTGTCATCTTTCCAATGAACCAACCCATTTTCAAAAATAACTTTTAGTTTTCGAGAAAACAATATTTGAAGTTTTGATAACATTTTCGATGTTGCAGTTTTAACGATAATTTTCAAAATTCGCTATGAAATTAATTTCTTGAAGAATCCATGTGGAAATATCACCAATTATTAATTAAAGTGTCCTCTTTTTAATGCAGCAAGCCGTTTTGAAAAATCACTTTCAGTTCTTGAGAAATAAATTTTTGAAATGATCGACAATTTTATCGAATTTTGCAATTTTCGCCGATTAAGTTTTAAAAATTCGTGTAAAATCCAGTTCTTGGAATATGAGTATGAAAATTTCCCAAAGTGCTAATAAAAGTGTCCTCTTTCCAATGAACAAACCCGTTTTGCAAAATAACTTTCAGTTTTTGAGAAAACAATATTTGAAGTTTTGATGAAATTTTCGATGTTGCAATTTTCATCAATAATATAATTTTCAAAATTCGCTATGAAATTAATTTCTTGAAGAATCCATGTGGAAATATCACCAATTATTAATTAAAGTGTCCTCTTTTTAATGCAACAAGCAGTTTTGAAAAATCACATTCAGTTCTTGAGAAATAAATTTTTCAAATGATCGACAATTTTTTCCGAATTTGCAATTTTCACCGATTAAGTTTTAAAAATTCGTATAAAATCCATTTCTTGGAATATAAGTATAAAAATTTCCCAAAGTGTTAATAAAAGTGTCCTTTTTCCAACGAACCAACCCATTTTGAAAAATAACTTTTAGTTTTTGAGAAAACAATATTTGATATTTTGATAAAATTTTCGATGTTGCAGTTTTAACGATAATTTTCAAAATTCGCTATGAAATTAAGTTCTTGAAGAATCCATGTGGAAATATCACCAATTATTAATTAAAGTGTCCTCTTTTTAATGCAAAAAGCCGTTTTGAAAAATCACTTTCAGTTCTTGAGAAATAAATTTTTGAAATGATCGACAATTTTTTCGAATTTTGCAATTTTCGCCGATTAAGTTTTAAAAATTCGTATAAAATCCATTTCTTGGAATATGAGTATGAAAATTTCCCAAAGTGTTAATAAAAGTGTCCTCTTTCCAATGAACCAACCCGTTTTGAAAAATAACTTTTAGTTTTTGAGAAAACAATATTTGAAGTTTTGATAAAATTTTCGATGTTGCAATTTTCATCGATAATTTTCAAAATTCGCTATAAAATTAATTTCTTGAAGGATCCTTGTGGAAATATCACCAATTATTAATTAAAGTATCCTCTTTTTAATGCAACAAGCCGTTTTGAAAAATCACTTTCAGTTCTTGAGAAATAAATTTTTGAAATGATCGACAATTTTATCGAATTTGCAATTTTCGCCGATTCAGTTTTAAAAATTCATATAAAATCCATTTCTTGGAATATGACTATGAAAATTTACCAAAGTGTTAATAAAAGTGTCTTCTTTCCAATGAACCAACCCATTTTGAATAATAACTTTTAGTTTTTGAGAAAACAATATTTGAAGTTTTGATAACATTTTCGATGTTGCAATTTTCATCGATAATTTTCAAAATTCGCTATGAAATTAATTTCTTGAAGGACCCTTGTGGAAATACTACCAATTATTAATTAAAGTATCCTCTTTTTAATGCAAAAAGCCGTTTTGAAAAATCACTTTCAGTTCTTGAGAAATACATTTTTGAAATGATCGATAATTTTTTCGAATTTTACAATTTTCGCCGATTAAGTTTTAAAAATTCGTATAAAATCCATTTCTTGGAATATGAGTATAAAAATTTCCCAAAGTGTTAATAAAAGTGTCCTTTTTCCAACGAACCAACCCGTTTTGCAAAATAACTTTTAGTTTTTGAGTAAACAATATTTGAAGTTTTGACGATAATTTTCAAAATTCGCTATGAAATTAATTTCTTGAAGGATCCTTGTGGAAATATCACCAATTATTAATTAAAGTATCTTCTTTTTAGTGCAAAAAGCCGTTTTGAAAAATTACTTTTAGTTCTTGAGAAATAAATGTTTGAAATAATCGACAATTTTTTCGAATTTTTCAATTTTCGCCGATTAAGTTTTAAAAATTCGTATAAAATTCACTTCTTGGAATATGAGTGTGAAAATTTCCCAAAGTGTTAATAAAAGTGTCCTCTCTCCAATGAACCAACCCGTTTTGAAAAACAACTTTTAGTTTTTGAGAAAACAATACTTGAAGTTTTGATAAAATTTTCGATAATGCAATTTTCATCGATAATTTTCAAAATTCGCTATAAAATTAATTTCTTGAAGGATCCTTGTGGAAATACCACCAATTATTGATTAAAGTATCCTCTTTTTAATGCAACAAGCCGTTTTGAAAAATCACTATCAGTTCTTGAGAAATAAATTTTTGAAATAATCGACAATTTTTTCGAATTTTACAATTTTCGCCAATTAAGTTTTAAAGATTTCTATAAAATCCGGTTCTTGAAATAGGAGTTATTAAAATTTCCCAAAATGTTAATAAAAGTGTCCTCTTTCCAATGAATCAACCCATTTTGTAAATAACTTTTAGTTTTTGAGAATACAATATTTGAAGTTTTGATAAAATTTTCGATGTTACAATTTTCATCGATAATATTCAAAATTCGCTATAAAATTAATTTCTTGAAGGATCCTTTTGGAAATATCACCTTAATTAAAGTATCCTCTTTTTAATGCAAAAAGTCGTTTTGAAAAATCACTTTCGGTTCTTGAGAGATAAATTTTTGAAATAATCGACAATTTTTTCGAATTTTGCAATTTTCGCCAATTAAGTTTTAAAGATTTCTATAAAATCCGGTTCTTGGAATAGGAGTTATTAAAATTTCCCAAAATGTTAATAAAAGTGTCCTCTTTCCAATGAATCAACCCATTTTGAAAAATAACTTTTAGTTTTTGAGAAAACAGTATTTGAAGTTTTGATAAAATTTTCGATGTTACAATTTTTATCGATAATTTTCAAAATTCGCTATAATTAATTTCTTGAAGGATCCTTGTGGAAATATCACCAATTATTAATTAAAGTTTCCCCTTTTTAATGCAATAAGCCGTTTTGAAAAATCACTTTCTGTTCTTGAGAAATAAATTTTTGAAATGATCGAGAATTTTTTCGAATTTTGCAATTTTCGCCGATTAAGTTTTAAAAATTCGTATAAAATCTATTTCTTGGAATATGAGTTTAAAAATTTCTCAAAGTGTTAATAAAAGTGTCCTCTTTCCAATGAACTAACCCATTTTGAAAAATAACTTTTAGTTTTTGAGAAAACAATATTTGAAGTTTTGATAAAATTTTCGATTTTGCAATTTTCATCGATAATTTTCAAAATACGCTATAAAATTAATTTCTTGAAGGATCCTTGTGGAAATACCACCAATTATTAATTAAAGTATCCTCTTTTTAATGCAACAAGCAGTTTTGAAAAATCACGTTCAGTTCTTGAGAAATAAACTTTTGAAATGATCAACAATTTTTTCGAATTTGCAATTTTCGCCGATTAAGATTTAAAAATTCCTGAGGTTGTAATGAGTTCCAAAGATTTTTTTGAATTTATAAGGATTCTTGCAATTTGTTTGTGATATATCTGACATTTCAGAGGTTTGAGGTGTAATCCTTAAATATAATTAAGTATTTATGCAATTTGGTTTATTGTTTCCACCTACCTAGAATATTTCCAGTAATTTTAAAAGCACTTCAGATGCATTTCCTCAATTTTCAGGGATTTTTAAAGAATTTCCAAGTAATTTTAGAATGTTTGCTTCCAACTATTTAATGGATTTGAAAAATTTTCAAGGAGTTTCGAGAATTTTCAAATATTTTCAACACAGATGTTTTAAGATTTTTAAAGAGTTGAAAGGTTGCAACGTTTTTTTTTAGAAGTTTTAAGAATTTATAAGGAATTTACAAGCATTTCCAAGGATTCTTGGGATGTAATATTGGCTTCTTGTTGGTCTCCAAGTATGCTCTTATGATTTGGTGATGTCCCAATCACCCGACTATTTTGAAGAGTTTCTAGAACATATCGAAAAAGGATTCCAAGCCATTCCTAAGAATTTTCAGTATTACCAAAGGTTGTCTGGAATTTCTCAGTGTTGTTTGGGTTGGACTCTGAAATATGTGCCAGAATTTTTCAAATTCATCCGCATTTATAAGAAGTCTTGGGATGAAATATCAAGATTTGCGGAGTGTTTTTAAGAATTCTTGGATTCTTCTTGTTGATTTCCAAGTATCTTCTAATGATTTGAAAAATTATTCCAACTCAACACAATCACCCGAGTATTTTGAAGAGCTTCTAGGACATATCCAAATAGCATTTCAAGTCATTCCTAAGGATTTTTAGTATTACCATAGATTGTCTGGAATTTCTCAGAGTTGTTTGGGTTGGAATCTGAAATATGTACTTTGGATTTGAAGATTTTTCAATGATAGTCAACAATCTTAAACAATGTTAAAAAGTTTTTCAAGGATTTCCAAGAACTGCATGAGATATCTAAGGAAATTTGGATTTACTTAATAGGAATTTGAACTTTTAGAGGTTTTTCCAAAGATATTCCAAAGAGATCTCCAAAGGCTTGCCAAATATTTCTTGAGATTAGACACGTCATTTGAGAAAATCTTATAAAGTGATATTTTTTCTTTGTTTATTTTTTATAATTTTGTATTTGATTTTGAGTTGATTTCATATAAATAATAAATATATGTTTCTTTAGTACGACATCAACCTTATCTGCTGGAAGTACCGGTAGTCAAGCAAGATTAATCCAAGCATCGAACCAACCGGAGAATTACCACCCAATCCAAGTGGAGGAATTAGGTAAGCCTCATACAACAACTACAAAAGCCGAAGTGCATGAAACAACCGGTAGAAGGAAATCGCCAAATCGTTCATCCCCGCATAAATCCACCCTCGCGCGAAAAGACTCTAGTCCGAATCAATCGAAAAAAGCAAGCCCTAATCAATCGAGAAAAACCAGTCCTAATCAATCGCGAAAAACGAGCCCAAATCAGTCAAGAAAATCTAGTCCGAATCGATCGAAAAAAACAACCCCTTCCGTTTCAAGGAATAACAGTGTTAGTCCAAAACCGGGGCGAAGATCACCCAAGATTATAAATGCCGATCAAAGTCCGAAAAAAATTAAGTCTTCCTTGAAGCAGCCTTCGAGATCGCTTAGTATCGAAAACCCAACTTGTGTTGAATGTTACTTGAGTGGACGTACTGATAAGGGATAGCACCCTTTGGTTAGAAGTAACAGTTTTCGATTGGAAAAAAGGTTAAAATGTGATGAGATACAGTGTTAAAAAAAAGTGGAATTAAAAAAGAACTAATAGAACAGATGGATGATTTGATCGAAGAAATGAAGAAGTTGAAAAAGAAGGAAAAGTTATTCGTTTATTGCGTATGTTAACTGTCAAAATGTTACTCTTCAATAGTAAGAAAAACGGAAAATAAGAAAATAGATGTTAAATGTGAAAATATGACGCTATCTACAAGTACTTAAATAAAATCATATTTTAAACGATTTTTGGTATTTTTAATCCATACAAAAAAATTAAATTAATTCATTTTTTATATGGGATAAAAATGCCAAAAAATAACTCATAATAACCAAGAAAAAGTATACGTATATAAAAACCATATTAACGCATATAAAAATTAACCAATAGATGTTAAATGGAAAGATAACAATATACGTAAGAATATTACGACGACATTTTGACAGTTTTTTTTTTTCTTAATCGTTCATAATAATCGTTTGTCTAATTCGTTCATCATACATTAATCAGTACCTATTTATCTTTGAAGCAGACTTGAAATATCCAATTGATAAAAAATCTTATTATTAAGAGTGTATCTAAATATCTCTAATAAATTAATGGTTTTGAAAACTTTTATGAACAAAAGTTAGCACAAAAAAGTTGTAAAAATAATCCATCTTCTTCTTCTATGCTGCAGCAGCCCAATGTCGGAGCTTGCCCTCCTTTATAAGGCTCCTCCATTCTTGCCTATCCCTAGTCTTCCACTTACAACACCTCATACCACCAAAATCGTTATTTAATATCTTCTTAGGGATACGTACTGTTTCCATACATGACCCTCCCATTCCAATCTTTAAAGCTTAATAATTATGGAGATAAGTGGCTCATCGTACAAACTGCAAAGCTCTTTGTAGTGCCTCAATCTCCATCGCAAACCGGTCGCCAGATCTGCCTCAAAATCCTTCTTTCATCTACGTTGACCAACAATTCCTCTCTTCTATTGAAAGTCCAGTTTTCACATCCATAGCAGAATACAATCCTTATTGTAGTTTTATACAAACTTGTTTTTGTAACTCTATGTATCTCTTTAGATTTGAATATTGATAACAGGAAGAATTAAGTTTGATTGGCTAAATTTATCCTTCTCTTTTTCTCATGACAGTCCTCATCTTACAACAGCCCATAGACGTTTGCATAGCTTTTCAATCCCAATACAGTTTAACCGTGGCCAAAATGTACAGAAGATTTTTGTACATAATGAATTGTTTATTTCATCGTTGTTTTGGTATAATTATCAATCCCATAACAGTTTCGACAATATATCATCATTTCTATGGTCTCCAATGGTCCTAATTGGTTATGTTTAAGATTTCAAATGGATCCTCTTTGCCCTATATGCCGTATTTCTGCAACGAGAAATTGAGTAATAAAATTCTTTTCGGTTTTAGATTTTGAGATATTATGACAATTTTTGTTTTTTTAAATGGAAACAACCACTGATTATTTGCTTAATAAATTCGTTATTTTTTTCCGATTACAAAAATATGGGGTTTATATAAAAATAAACCTTTTTTATAAAAATCCTAAACGCCGAAATCTAGTGTCGTCGAAGAAATGAAATTTACAGTTTCCTGTAAATTACGGGGCGGTATTTAAATTACGGGGTATTATTTTTTTGGTATTTAGAAACAAATAATTATGTTTATTACACCAACTGTTAATACGGAAATGTTTAATGGATTGCAGTGTTTCGGATTGGAGAAATATGTTTTTTTAATTTTTAATGTTATAGTTAATTTACAGGAAACTGTAAATTTAAATTTTCGACGATACTAAAAAAAAAGTTTATTTTTAGCTTTATTCTAAAACAATAAGAAATAGACCTGTCGAACCCTATATTTTTGTAATCAGAAATAAATACCGAATTTAATAAGCAAATAATCAGTGGTTGTTTCCATTTAAAAACAACTAAAATTGTCTCAAAATAAAATCTATATCTCAAAATATCTCAAATCTCAAAATATAAAACCTAAAAAATTTTTTTGTTCTCTCATTAAATTCTCTGTAAAAAAAGTGCCCATATAATGTTAGTTATAATACTCCACCTATAATAATAACCAAGATAATTGCATTTGCTGATTTTACGGTATTTTTCACTTTAGAGATCGATATCTTCGTAACCACTCGTTGGAAAAAATTGCGGTAAAGTTTATTGTAATCAGTGAACATTTCTGCGTATCACATCTTAATTTGGAAATTTTCGTGTCCGCGGTTTTTCTTTTATCGCGAGTTAAGTGAGAAAAGTACCCGATTTTTGAGAGTGCCAGCAACTTTATCTATTTTGCGATTTTTTTTCTCCAAAACTATTTGACGAAAAAATTTCAAATTTGAAGTGGTGGTAAACCGATGTGTTCTTAATGTGGAGCATATTTTATTTTTTCGATGTTCCATATAATTTCGTGGAAAATCGCGGTTTAGTAGGATGCAGTTATTTTAAAAACGACCTGGCGGATTTCAACGCGGTTTTTACCAAAATATGTCAAATAAAGTCCGAGAAAGAGGGCTCCCTAATTTTTCAAGAGCGATTTAAAGGAATTACAAATTAAAGAGAAACAGAAATAAGCCATAAATCGCTCTTAAAACATTAGGGAGCTCTAATTTTGAAAAATTGATAACGCAATCCGACAACTGTCATTATTTGACATATTTTGGTCAAATCCGCGAGAAAATCCACCCAGCCGTTTTCGACATAACGGCGTCTTACTAAACCGCGATTTTCCGCGAAACTGAATGGAATATCGAAAAAATAAAATATGCCACTCATTAAGAACACATCAGGCTACAACCTGTTCAAAATTTAAATTTTTTCATAGAATAGTTTTCGAGGAAAAAAATTGCAAAGTTGACAAACTTGCCGGTACCGTAAAGAATCGGGTACTTTTTTTATTTAACTCGCTATAAAAAGAAAACCGTGAATCCGAAAATTTTCAAATTAATATATGTTACGTAGAAATGTTCAGTAATTACAACAAACTTTATCGCAATTTTTTTTATTGAACGGTTGCGAAGATATCGATCTCTAAAATAGTGTCGTCGAAGAAATGAAATTTACAGTTTCCTGTAAATTACGGGTGGTATTTAAATTACAGGATATTATTTTTCTGGTATTTAGAAACAAATAATTATGTTTATTACACCAACTATTAATACGGAAATATTTAATGGATTGCAGTGTTTCGGATTGGAGAAATATGTTTTTTTAATTTTTTGTTATAGTACCGTAATTTACAGGAAACTGTAAATTTAATTTTTTCGACGAACCTAAAAAAAAAGTTTATTTTTAACTTTATTCTAACACAATAAGAAATAGACCTGTCGAACCCTATATTTTAGTAATCAGAAATAAATAACGCATTTAATAACCAAATAATCAGTGGTTATTTCCATTTAAAAAAACGAAAATTGTCATATCTCAAAAAAGGTAGCTTCTAATGATTTGAAAAAATTTTCCAACCCAACCCAATCCAAATACCTGAATGTTTTGAAGAGGTTCTAGAACATATCCAAAAAGGATTCCAAGCCATTTCTAAGAATTTTCAGTATTACCAAAGGTTGTGTGGTGTTTTAGTGGCTAAATTTATCTATTTCCTTATCTCATGACCAGAGCCCGGACAGTTTAGGAAAATTATCCTAAAACGCCTCCCACTCCAGTCTCAATATTCAATCGAAGCGTGCGAAGCTGTCGGATACGTCATACCTTATGTCACGAAATAAATTATAATTAATTTATTGATTATAAATTTAATAAAACCAAAAATGAATAATTCAGTGCGTAATAATTAATGTTGCACTGCAAGTTCTTCACTAATGTACGCTCATCGCTCTTCGAAATTCAATTTTGAAGAGTAACTTAAAAGGTGTCAAAAGCGACAACAACGTACTTACGTCGTTGTCATGGAAATCGTTTCGTGTAGAGGGGCGCACTTTTCCTAAACTGTCCGGGCTCTGCTCATGACAGTCTTTATCTCACAAAAATCAATGGACGTTTGCATATACGATCGGTTTCATTGCGAGGGGCGTGATTAAATTAATTAAAAAGTGATCCAAACTATCCAAAGTCCCAGACTAAGAATAGTCCAATTTTCTGGTTTCATCTTATTATTCAGTATGAGATGTGCTACTGGCAACATGTCTTGCCAGAATATCTCATTATCTAAATTTTGTGTACTCTGACATACGAATTGATTATATTGCACCAAGTTTGCGTAAAATTTTTAGTGTACACTTTGGATGAAGCAAAAGTGCAAATCAATTGCGTGATTCCTCCAAGGTGAACATCAAAAATGATAAGTCTAAATGAGTCTTAAGATGTCTTTATCTTTTTTGCAACAAATTTGTGTAACTTAGCTTGTATAAAGCAATTTGCGCAAAGTTCCAAATTCCAACAAAGTTACTTATAAAAAGCTAATTACACAAAATGTTTGCTTTAATGACGTTTTTATCATATCACAAAAGTACGTTAGTTAAAAAAAAAACAATTTGAGAATAAAATTACCATAACCTCGATGAACTTAATGATTTATTATGAATTTAGATACACCCTACATAATAAGATCGAATCTGCTTCAGGGAATCAAAAAATGATAAAACGGCACTGAATTAGACTTAACCACTCGTTCTCACCTATAATAATATTTTGTTTAATCACCCTGTAAATAAAAGCACGATTCCGAAACAGCGTTTAAGAATGTTTTTGAACTCACGGATTTTTTCGTTTTCAGCTTTATTTTTTAAATTCTTTTTCCTTAGCACTCCCACGCTTCAGCAATACTTATTTCTAGTTTTATAGCTTATTGTTATCCATAGATATTTAGTGGAATGCTCTCTCTGTCGCTTTTAAGCAGCTTCCGTAGATTTTTGTCTATTGGAATCTACACACGATTTTTTCTATATTGAAGAAGTTTTGACCCTAACGCCTATTTAATATATTATTTTGAGTGTTCTAGAAAAGTTAAATGTAAATTCCTAATTAAAAAATAACATCTGTTTTATTTAATTTGATGATTAAAAAGAATTTCTTTGATTTATTAATTAATTAATTGATGAATAATAATAAATAAAACAGTTGTTGATTTTTTTGTAATAAAATTTATAACCAAAATTTTTTTATAAAATTTTTAAGTTACGTCGAAACAATTCTTTTTTTGGGCAATTAAATCTAAATCATTTTTAATTAATTCAAAAAAGAGAGATTTAGCCCAAAAAAATTGATTGATAGACGTAATTTAAACGCAAAGCACCCTTTTTCACAATTATTAACGATTAATTAGCTTATTTTTAGCTCAATTTAGATGCAATCTTTAGTAAAAAAGTATTAAAATAATAATAACCTAACCAACACGAACAAAATAAACAAAATAAAAAGTAATACAAAAATTAAATTGTTATAGGGTCACCTGTGTGGAAACCAAGAGACAGTAGTTTAGAGGCATCTTCTACCTTCCCGCGCAAGGCTAGGGACACAGGCTTAAGTTCGTCCCGTAAGTCGCTGATAGATACCACTTCCGGTTTGGAAATACACAACTCGTTCAACCCGTAAAATGTAAAATTTTCTTTTTTTGTTTCTTTTTCTTTGTTATTTTACGTTGAGTATAAATCTAATTCAGATAAATCTATTTTAAAAGGTAAATCTGATTTAGACGTTGCGTTAATAAAACATATTTTTAAATAAAATTTCGAAAAAAAATTAATAATAATAAATTAAAATTAAGAAATGAATTTAGTGTTAACTTATTGGGAAAAATTAAAACTATGAAACTAAATTTGAAACGATTTTTATAAATTTTTTTGTGTATCTAAGTAAGAATAAAATGTGTACAGGGCGAAATGATTTTCGAATACAATTTTTATACGATATAAAAATGAAATTAAGCCCTTGAATCAAACTTCTTATACAGGGTGAGTTAAAAAGAATGGGAATGGAAATTCTGGAATCATTACAATATGGAAATATAATCTTGTATGTACTGATTTATTATATTCATTTCAAAAATTAATGATTGTTTTCTGTTTTTTAATAAATAAATTTTAATTCGAACATGACTTAATCCAAGTTGAAGCTTAATTCAAGTCATTTAAGTTAAGCGTTTTTATGTAACAACTTGCAATATAAATCGACAAGATGAGAATTCTATCTTATCCATAAAAATTTTATAATATTTTTCTTGTTTAGGTATAAAATGGAATGCATAAAATTTTGAATAAAAACTTATGCATAATGAGGTGATAATTAATGTAGAGATAAAATGAAATTGGATGATTTATAGAAAAATATAAATAAATTTGTGGAACTGGCCTCTCTCTAATAAATCATGGTACTTCTAAAATCTTTAGTGTTTCCTATTGCAATTTATGGCTAAGAATGCACCATAAATGCTGCATGTCAAAAGAGGATTGAAGCTTTTGAAATGATATGACACTCCCTTAGACTGGGTATGGCACTAATGATCCAGTCTAGAAGAACTAAAAATACGTAATAATGAGAGATTACTACCTTATTTCTCTCGCTTTTATGTCTATGTCGCTTTTCCAAATGATGCATACTACAGAAGATGGAGTCACGACGTTAGAATCTTGAAAGACCACCATATTCGCAAAGAAACTAAAACAAGACTTCTAAAATCTTTAGTGTTTCCTATTGCAATTTATGGTTCAGAATCCTGGACCATAAATGCTGCGTGTCGAAGGAGGATTGAAGCTTTTAAAATGATATGAGACTCCCTTGGACTGGGTATCGCACTAATGATCCATTCTAGAAGAACTACAAATATGGAATAATGAGATATTACTACCAACAATCCTGCTTCGTATACTTAAATTGTTGTTGTTGTTAAATTGTGAGAAGTCAAGGTGAGATTTATAGACCTACTAAAGGATCTGGCACATATGTCGCTTTTCCAAGTGATGCATACTACAGAAGATGGAGTCACGACGTTCGAATGTGGAAAGACCACCATATCCACAAAGAAACCAAAACGCAACTTCTAAAATCTTTAGTATTTCCCATTGCAATTTATGGCTCAAAATCGTAGACCATAAATGCTACATGTCGAAGGAAGATTGAAGCTTTTAAAATGATATGAGACTCCCTTGGACTGCATATCGCACTGATGCATCCATTCTAGAAGAACTAAAAATACGCAATAATGAGAGATTACTACCAACAATCCTGCTTCGCATACTTAAATTGTTCAGTAATGCAATACGGAAGGATGGCATGGAGAAACTCATGATACAAGGAAAGGTTGATGGAGAAGTCAAGAGGGAGATCATCGGTGAGAAATATAGACCAAGTAAAGAATCTGGCACAGATGTCGGTTTCTCAAGTGATGCATACTACAGAAGATGAACTCGCGACGTCCGAAATTGAACAACAACTGAAGAGAGAGATAGTAAAGAGAACCTAAACAAACTCTACAAAGGCATATACCCATACGAGCCGAGTTTTCCATCGCCATCACCAGAAATAAAGTACCAAGGAAGAGACCTTCGTCTTGCAGTAAGATCCTCTTGATGAATCCTAACATCGTTGTTTTTCTACATACACATTGCAGATGTCTTGATACATATCTGCAAAAAGAATTTTGGTATCTATTAAATATTTACTAATTGACATCTCATAATTGTAATTTACGAAATCCTTGTGGTATGTTTTTGAATTAATATTTGCAGAATCTATTTGAGTATGTCATAGCAACTTTTAATCGTTGTGTCAATAAGAATTAGGTTCCTGTCATCATACAAAGCCATTTTGTATGATTTTGAAAGTTATCCAATTCACTTTCAATGGAAAATATCACTAAATTGATGGTTCTTAACTCTATACAAAGTTTAGAAGGTGACATAAAAACTTTAATGCTTTATCTGTACCAGAATAAATCACATCTTCCATTTATCTTTGTAATTATCATCTTTATGCTTCAAAACTACACTACTAATACGTATATAATTACATAGTATATATATATATAGCAATAAGGTATAGGTGAACTTTTCATTCAATTTGAGTTAATTTCAACCTAAACTTTTTGTTTCAAACCAGTATTTCTTAATTTCAATTATGCAAGAAGGTATGGAAGAATCGAAAAATATTAAATTCTAGGTTTTGGTGGATCTCTGCATTTTGAGGTCTTCTGAATCTGAAAATCTGGGTTTAGGAATTATATCTGCGTTTTTGTCTATGTGAGCAAATCAACTCGAGAACCAAATTTTGCACACATAAATTATAACGTAACGTAACTACGACTTATATTATATGTAGCATAACTACAAAACTTGATCCTGAAAGAGCCAGATACTTGTAATATCGACTTTGAAAACACTTCTTCTTCTTAGTTCGACGTTTCCGTACGAAGGTTGGCGATACAACTTGGAAAATTTATCTTAACTGGTCAGTTGGTCAGAAGTTAAGCAAGCTCAAAGTTTATGGTTATGCAAGGTTGAATTCAGAAATTCATAAGCCTGAAGCGTCGCATACTTAAATTCTTCAGTCATGCAATACGGAAGGATGGCATGGAAAAATTCATGATACAAGGAGAGGTTGATGGAGAAGTCAAGGTGAGATTTATAGACCAAGTAAAGGATCTGGTACAGATGTCAATTCCATAAGTAATGCATACTACAGAAGATGAAGTCGCGACGTCCGAAATTGAACAACAACTGAAGAGAGAGCGATAGTAAACAAACTTTACAAAGGCATAAGACCTGAGTTTTCCATCGTCATCACCAGAAATAAAGTACCAAGGAAGAGACTTTCCTCTTGCAGTTAGATCCTCTTGATAAATCCTGACATCGTTATGTTTTTCTACATACACACTGCAGGTGTCTTGGTACAAATCTGCAGCTAGAATTTCGATGTCTATTAAACATTTACTAATTGACATCTCATAATTACAATTTACGAAATCTTTGTGTGGAGTTTTTTAATTGATATTTGCAGAATCTATTTAAGTACCTATATCATAGCAGCTTTTAATCGTTGTGGCAATAAGAAATAGGTTCCTGCCATCATACAAAGCCATTTTATGAACAATATTTAATAGCTATAACGACTTTCAAAACTATTTGAAGGTATCAACATTTTCTGCTTACTTTAATAGTTTCGAAAATTTTCATAACATTTCTTTTTAGAAATTTATCTTTTTCCAAACGTATTTATAACTGCAATAAGCATCATTAGCGTTAAGGGACAAAACGTTTCTAGCGTCAATAACTTATTACTTAATTCCAAGCAGTTATTTAACGAAATTCCTTCCCATTATCTTTAAGCTAAAACGCGGTACGATGCCATATTTATTTAGAAAGTTGACCAATTCACTATCAATGGACAATATCACTAAGTTGATAATGGTTCTTAACTCTATTCAATGTTTAGAATGTTTCTAGGTTTTGGTGGATCTCTGCATTTTGAGGTCTTCTGAATCTGAAAATCTGGTTTTAGGAATTATATCTGCATTTCTGTCTATATGAGCAAATCAACTCGAGACCCTGAAAGACCCAGATACTTGTAATATCGACTTTGGAAACACTTCTTCTTCTTAGTCCGACGTCTCCCTTTGAAAGTTGGCGATCCAACTGGCTACATCTTGGCAAATTTATCTTGGGTTGGGTTGCTAGGAAAAAAAAGGTACGCAGAAGGAGTGCGACAATAAATCGTCGTTAAATTGAAATAGGCTGTGTTGAAACGACTGTAGGTATAGCGTTCAACAAAAGTTTAGTACCCTAACTAAAATTCAAAATTAATAAGCCTGGACTTTGAAGATTTGAAAAAACTATCTTCAAGACATTAAATACTAAGTAAATTGCGTTAAATTTCTTTTTATTTGATGCCATAAGGTATGCCATAATGTACCACTCAATTTTTCTAAGCTATATCTTTGGAATGTTTACCAAGACACTCAAATTTTCCATTAAGTTTGGAAAATGACATCATTTAGGCTTTTTCTATGACATTGCCCTTTTGTGCTGGGAAACACTTTAGGTGATACTTCTCCACCGATGTTTTCACCATGTTTTCTCCACCAGATGTTTCCCACTTCTCCACCGATGTTTTCCTTTTGGGTGATCATATAGTGATTTTGCTGGAATTCTTTTGCTTTGGATACATCCTGCAGGAACCACATCTCCTTGAGTCTTAATTAATCAATTCCAACTGGCTACAACTTGGCAAATTTATCTTGGGTTAGGTTGCTAGAAAAGAAAAGGTACGCAGAAGGAGTGCGACAGTAAGTCGGTTAAATTGAAATAAGCGAACATCAACGACCGTAGGTATAGCGCTCAGTAACTCTAACTTTATGGATATGCAAGGTTGGATGCACAAATTAATAAGCCTAGAATTTGAAGATTTGAAAAAACTTTCTTTAAAATATTAAATGTTATGTAAATTGCGTTAAATTTCTTTTTATTTCATGATATGCCATAATCTATCACTCAATTTTTGTAGCCTATATCTTTGGAATGTTTATCAAGACACTCAAATGTTTTCCATTAAGTTTGGAAAATGACATCATTTAGGCTTTTTCTATAACATTACCCTTTTGTGCTACATACCGATGTAGCGATTACCGATGGGCAATCAAATAGTGATTTTGCGAGCTTACACAAATTGTCAACGCTCAATATGAATCTGCTGGAATTCTTTTGCTTTGGATACATCCTGCAGGATATCTCCTTGAGTCTCAATTAATCAATTTGAAGAATGAAAAATGTATCAACGCTTACAATTCGCAGTGATCGTTTGGGTAACGGCAAAATATGTAGCCACAACGATGGAATTAAAAACGATTTTACACGAAATCTTCATTATTAAGATACAGGAGGGTGTTAAGGAGATTTAGACTCGATTCATAGACAACACCCAAATGCTGTTGGACTGTCTGTACTTTATAGGGAATAATCGTGTCTTTCTTCAAATATATACCGCAATATAAGGTTGGAATGGAAAATTACGTAGCACATCATCTGGTCTGATGATCATGATCGATAAAGCGGCATCTTCAGCTCCTGTAGAGATAATGACGGCCGAACAGCTTTCTACAGCTTGCTTGTTTCCGAATTATTTCAGCATCTTTAGAGTTATGCAACGTAACCACGCATTAAACCACCAATGAGAGCCTGGCCTAAAGAAATGTACACGAAATGCACGTTGTGTCATAATCACATATTCATTCTTCAAAAATATAACGTTAAAATATAATTGGATTTTAATAAATTCATCACAGATGGATTTAGAGAAGTACGGAAAGCTTATTTGGCATATTTTGCAATTTGACTTATCAGGAATGAAGAAAATGGAGCAACTAGTTCAAGTACATCCAAATTTCATTTCTTCCTATTTTTCAAAGTTCCCTCAAAATGGTTTCTTGCTTCAAGACACTTTTTTTATGGAAACTTTTTCTCTGTATGAAACTTTTTATATTTCTTTTGCTTTTTTTATACTATTTTTATGCTTCCAGATAAAATGAGTTTTTTTTATATCTTATAACAAAATCCCCATGAGTCTGACTTTCAAGAAGCGAAGTTTTTCTCAATTCTTATCCTAAAAAAATTGTCTAAAACAGCTTGGAGTCGTTTCTCCTAGCTAAGCAGTGGCAACTTCGTTCAATCTTGCCAAATATCATTAAAACGTTCTTTGCACTTCTCGTTATGCGGTGTCAGAAATGAAAACAATAATCCAGTTTTGAAATATCTAAAACAAAGTATTTTGGATTAAATTATAATATTTGTGTAAACTAGTATTTCTGATTCTCATTCTTTCTAACTTACTCAATATAAAATTTGTTAAAAACTTTAGTTGGAAAAGCACTTTTTTAAAACTTATGAAGCTTCAATCTTTCCACTTTAGATAATCTTATCATTATTATTACGATATTAAAAAAGAACATACGTAAAAATTTTTTAATTCGATAAAATCATTATTTCAAAAAAGAAACAATTCAATCAACACAAAATAATGAAAAAAAATGCAATCACGAACTTACACCCAACGTAATAAATTATTAAAAATGATAACGAAAAAAAGGACTTTATAGGATTGTCACATTATTATTGATATATAAAATTTAGATAAATACATAAATAGTTCAAGGAAAAAAATGGGTAAAAAACCATACTTAGAATAATACTATAATAAAGAAAAAAAATGCATAGTTACATGTATTTCGAGATTTGTTACGGGTTTTTATTCAATTTATTTATTATATAATTTATATCGTCATTCAAATATTTATTGTAGAGATTCTAATATCGCGAGCACGTTATATCTACGACGTACGTCGCAGTTGTTAGTATACCTCATTTTTTCTATTAGAATTTAAAAGAATAATAATCAAATAGAGAATCGCTATAGGTTTTAAAAAGAGAATGGGAAATAATTAATAGGAAAATATTATTATTATAAAATGAAAAGCACCGCGTGCGTCGTAAGTAGAAGCGTGCGCAATTACTACGAACGTTATTATAAAAAAAAATATTAATTATTATAAAACAAAATAAAAAAAAACATCGCACAATTTGTTTCTATACAGACAACAAAAGAATAAAAAAATAATTCGAAAACTGCAATTACGTATTAAAAAGAACAAAGTGAATTTCGGCCGTTTCAACGACCGATAGCTCAACTTTTTTTGTAAACGTAGCTTTTAAAACAAAATACCGAATAAAAAAAAAATGAAGAAAATTAAAAAAAAAACACTACTTATTGTGTGGGTTAAGTCACCTTTTGTATATCGTTTGTACAAGACGTAACGGTCGTAAGATGATTTCGATTCCCGAATTCCGGTTTCCTTGTGTGTAAACGGGGATTTAAAAAAAAAAATAAAAATAAAAGACGATTTTCATCCACTACACCACAGAATAGAACGACGGCACGGATGGTTTTTTTTTTGTCGCGTGCGGACCGATTTTTTTTCCACTTTTGAGCACGTGCCAAACATTAACAAAAAAAAAAGTAATAAGCAAAAAAAATTAATTAAAATTTAAAGAAACGAATACAGGTTGTGGGAAAATTATCGGTCCGCACGACCATCCGACAAAAACACACTTTGTATTTTTTACAGGATTTTCCGTTCAGTTCAGTTTGGTCGTTTAGTACATTTGTGTAGGAAGTAAGGAATAAAAAAAGTAAAAAAAATACTGGTTTTCTTGTATGTCTGTATGTATGTCATACCGCGTATGGTGGAACTACGGAATGGAAAAATTTAAAATAAACACATATGAAAGTATATTATTGATTTTTATTTATTTTGATTTATTAAAATATATACACAACGTATGATATTAACCCTTTGTGTCCCAAGAAGTCAAACATTTTAAAACTTTGTGACAGAATCAGACAGAATTAAAACGCTATCAAAATACACTCAGTAAAGGCCTTTGAAATAAAATTTTAGCAAAATATGCAATCCCCCTATTTTCGCATAGTCTAAATGTCAAAAAAGATGTTAATTCAAAAATTCCTGGAAACCGTGTTTATTGAAATTAAGAAATAAAACTTATTTTAAATTGAAGCTTGAAGCTTTCTGTTTAAATCGATGTATAACAATCGATGGGTTGAATTAAAAAAATATTGAGAAAAAGAGTATTGAGTTAAAACTAACATTTTCGTATAACCTAAAAGTGTCAAAAAAGATG